TTTTGCTCAGAGAGCGGGATATCGTGGACCACGCTGGCAGAGTGTGTCTGTATTCTGGAAACTTACCAGTTTTCAATGGTGTGTATTGAAGAGGGCATATTGTGGTACGTCAGATCTCTTGATGCTGACGTGTCAAATGTCTGGACGGTGAAACTTCGGTTGGCGAGGCCACTACATACTGCTCCGAAGGCGAATATCTAAAGCGGGGGTGAAAAACATCGGATCGTGTGTAACACGATTAAGCGAGATGCACACCTTTTTTCCCCTGTAGCTCGATTTATCGTGTTTACGCACGTAACACGATTAAGCGAGCTGCACACCTTTTTTCCCCTGAAGCTCGATTTATCGAGTTACGCACGTAACACGATTGGGCGAGATGCATACCTTTTTCCCCTCTAGCTCGATTTATCGAGTTACGCACGTAACACGATTGGGCGAGATGCACACCTTTTTCCCCTGTAGCTCGATTTATCGTGTTACGCACGTAACACGATTGAGCGAGCAGAAGTGCTGTTGTGTCTGTGCGACGGGGTGAGCGCCCTGGCCCAAGTCTTTGTTCATAGAGAGGAAGATCGTGCTCCTTTTATCTCAGAACTGTTTTGGCTTTGTTTTCCGACTCTCACAGCTATAAATAATAACAATTTGGATCTTTTGATAGCACTTCACATCAAATCGTGCATCAACTCACACGTCCTACCGCGTGAAACTTGCTCAGAGAGCGGGATATCGTGCACCACGCTGGCAGAGTGTGTCTGTATTCTGGAAGCTAACCAGTGTGCGATGGTGTGTGTTGAAGAGGGCCGACTGCTGTAGACAGCATCAGATCTCTTGATGCCGACGTGTCAAATGTCTGGACGGTGAAACTTCGGTTTGCGAAGCTACTACATACTGCTCCGAAGGCGAATATCTAAAGCGGGGGTGAAAAACATCGGATCGTGTAGCAGTGCTGTAATGTTTGTGCGACGGAGTGAGCGCCCTGGCACAAGTCTTTGTTCAGAGAGAGGAAGAACCTGTCTTCTGAAAGCTAAGCAGAACAATCAGCTCTGAACAACAGCAGTGTATTGAGCCTTTTGAAAATAATCTCACCTTGTCAGATCGTCACAGCCACAGCCACGGTCCGGTGTTCAAAGATTGCCTCCGTGCCAACCATTCCCCGCGTGTCTCCCTCCCCTTTCCATCTGCCCTCTCTTCCCCTCCCTTCCCCTCCCTCTACTCTTCGCTCAGTTTGATGACGGGCGCTCGCGCACATCACAACATCTCGAAATTTCCTCACCGACACGTTTATCTTAAAACCGTTCTGACTTTTTTTTTACTTTTGCTGCGTCATCATGCCGTCATGGTCACGCATTCCGACTCCACTTGTATTGCCGATGATATTGTACAGGTGTGCGTTGATTGCTGCGATGGTCTAGAAATGAGAATTTTTATTTTTAAATTGTTCTGGCTTTCGATCTGACTTTTTCAGCCACGGGACTGTCAGTTTTCTGCATCATTGTGTGCATCCTGCTCTGCTGTACCCTATATATGGTATGCCTGTCGGATGATTATCATTGATAACAATGCGGCACGGTAGAATGCGAGCAGTTGCTAAACTCTCTGTTGGATGCTTTCGTGTTTACATCTCCCCATTCAAACAGATCTTGTGCTGTGACAAGGAATATTGCGAGGGATGGTGGTCTGCCTCTCCATTTACCGTACGGCGTCGTTTGCTACCCGGAATCAGACCGGACCATGATCCCATTCTTCCCCACAACCTCTCACGCCCGTGACGCCGCCACATTCATCCAGTTCCCGCCTTTCGACTTTGCTCTTGCACTGCCTTTCAGCTTGGTGGTACATAAGGTGCGAATAATGTGACGCTGTTTGCGATACAAACAAGAGCAACAGCCATCCACAAATAGATCTACACGATCGAAACAGAAATTTGGAGACATACGTTGCGGTCAAGATTGGATCCAGTGCAAAAAAACGACCAACGGCCACCCAGCCAGCAGATCGCAGTTGGTTGCAAAGTATGTGCTTACCCACAGTCTCGCCCACCCTCACACGCCGGGTTGCAAAGTATGTGCTTACCCACAATCTCGCCCACCCTCACACGCCGCCACACCGTTGTGTTGGATTCGCATTGCTTTCGATCTTCATCGCTGTTGGCCGAACAGACTAAATAGATGGAAAGCGAAATTCAAAATTTGACATCGTTGCAGCAGCGTTCAAGTGTACGTCTCAGCATAAATCCATGCCCCCGCTTCTTCTCTCGACTAATTGGATGCACGTGCAGTCGAATCATGTCCGCGGACGAGGACGCCCAGTCCTTCATCGGATTGGATGGGGATGACAGCTGCTCCTTTGATCCCGATGACGTGATGCATGCTTTCGGCTACGCAGCGGAGGTGAATTGGCGATTTTTGATCAGCGACGTCTAAATAGAAAAAGACTGGTAGAAGGAAGAAAGATCGTAACATTTGTAACGGTGGCCAGGCGCAGCGCAGTGCAGCGCAGTGCAGCAGCAATGGTGATAGATGTTGGTCGCATAAGATCCGTGCCTGTGATGATGTGTGCAACAAAATATCTCTCCCACCTTTTGCTACTGCTGTGAACATGTGAATTCCCCAACCACGCGTGTGTCAAAGGAGAACAGCATGGACATGCCGACAGAGGGGACAGCCGCGGGTAGCACAGACGTGCCGGCCAGCGATCACGATGTTTCACCACCACATGAAGACAAGTCGCAGCAGCATGTACGTACCTTTACACACCTACTTGCCCTCGCTAATTTTACGATAGCGCTAAGTCCCACGTACGCCACTGTCATCAACTTGAGCAGCAATTTCATTTTCTTGTTTTTTTATCTTGAGATCCGTGCCTGTGATGATGTGTGCAACAAAATATCTCTCCCACTTTTTGCTACCGCTGTGTACATGTGAATTCCCCAACCACGCGGGTTTCAAAGGAGAACAGCACAGACATGCCGACAGAGGGGACAGCCTCGGGTAGCGCAGACATGCCGGCCAGCGATCACGATATTCCACCACCACAGGAAGACGAGTCGCAACAGCATGTACGTACCTTTACACACCGGTAGCGCTAACCCCCGCGTACTTGTGTGCAAATGCTGCTGCCAACGATGGCGCTACTTACACTTCCTGTTGAGCAAAACAGTTTCACGCACCGTTGCAAAAACGTTAGACACCCACCGTTCGGCCAAGTAACACTTCTGCCCTCTGAACTGCAAACTCTCCCGCCAACCGTTTCATTTTTTTTCAACAGCTTGTAATAGTGACAATGTTTATGGTTGAGTTTGACCGACCAGTAAACCCGTAAACCTTTTGTAACAATATCAACAGATTTACTCCGGAAGCCCGGACCAAGCAGAGACGAGCCAGTCTAGCACACCAATGTCAACGGTTACGGAGGAGGGTGAGAATGGCACGGACACGCCGACAGAGGGCACAACCTTGAGCAGCTCAGAGGTTCCGGTCGGCGATGACGAGGTTCCACCACCACAGGAAGACGAGTCGGAGCAGCATGCATACGCCGAGGTAAGCAGCTATAATTCGAGAGGAATCTCGCCTGGCGTGCAGAAGAAAACGTTTGTGTACAGCTCTATTACGGTGGACCATAGTTAACAAGTCCAAATGTGGTTCATTCAACAAGATGAAATGTCTATAATAGAATGGTTGCTTGTTTTCTTATATTGCTTCGATGAGGAATCACCGAACCGGATAAAAATAGGGTTTATAAGACTTTTCTTTTCCAATGAAGTCGAAGCGAGTCCATTCTTATGGCTCAGTGGATAGCAGCGTCAACTTTCAAACCTCAGGGTCGAGAGTTCGATTCTCAACGTCGTCTTTACTGGCGAAAAAAAGCGCTTCCAGACTTAGTCTGTCCACTGCAAAATCTCTCACACTAAAAAGAGGTGTCCGGCGTGTACAACAGTTTACCACTGTTAATTGTAGGCGTCGAGATTCCATGTACTCGAATGAGTGCAGAAAAATTGCCTTCGGGCAATGGCTTAGCTGCATAGCTTGAACGGCCAAGCCTTCCATTCACACGGAAGGTTTATTACCATTGAGGGGATTCGGTTGTTTGGATCTTGGTCCTGATAACTGCAGTCCTCCGTAATATCAGTTGATCATCGCCGCAACCAAAGCATCACTTTAACGTTCCAAACTCGTCTAAATAATAAATATTACCAATACCATACCCATCGCTCGAATCAGCGCTCTCTTCTTATCTCTGGTGAAACAGTTGGACCGAAGATCTCTTGCTTGTGCCGTCAACGCCTGACAGTTTTACACACGTTCCTCCGCAATTATTTCGTTCGAAATTCATAGTACGCAACGGTGGACCTATTTTTCGAGATCTTCGCCGAGGCTGAGAAGGACCCGACTTCGAAGTATGAGTTTCTTGATCGGGTCGAGAAGCTCGTGGGTGAAGGGGTTGACGTCTTAGGTGCGTGTCAGAGGCTACCACGTTTCCAGATAAACGCATTTCCGCGAATGAGGAGAAACGTCGTCGTGCTACAAAACGGCAAGTGTCAGGCTGGAAAGGGAACAGAGACTTACATTGGTTTCCTGAAGGCGTGGCTGCAGGCCGGCTTGGTACCTATCCTTCAAGCGAAAAACGACAGCGGTGAATTAGGTCGGCACCACCAAGACATGCTCAAGTTCAACGCCTTTTCTGCACGCATCTGGAAGCTCGCCGGTCTCGACAGTAGAGAGAAACCCATTCTAGACATGTTCGAAGAAAGGGGAAGGTACGACGTGGCCCTGAGTCGTTTAATGGATCGTGGCAACGTGATCCCGGTGTATGGTCTGATAGACAACTCGTACCGAGTGAGCAGGTTTCAGGAAGAGGTGAAGCCCGTGATTCAAAAACTTGGAACGACGGACGAAGGAGCCCTCAAAATGTGCTTTTTCAAAGACGAAGGTGATCTTACCGTCCGTGACAAGTTTGAGGGGGGTGCAAAAAGCTGGGAGTCTCTGCTCGCAGCCTGCTCTTCAATTGTCGACATCACAGGGACACCCCAAGCACTTCATCTCAGCCACTGTGACATGGGTTCCAAGGAATACGAGTATCAAGAGATCACAACTTCGGCCTACTACTGGGATTATATGCACTCCTCGCAGGAGATGCCTCCGAACGCCAGGGTCATATCTCGAAAGAACGGTGATCTGCACTCCATGGTGCGCAAAATGCTCTCGACGAAGCGTGTACAATGCGCACTGGCTATACAGAGCTCGGTCACGGAAACGGTTGACATCGACAAGCAAGCCAGGATGAACGCAGTCAGATACGCACAAGAAGGCCTCATCTGTATTGCATGGTGGGCGAAAGGCCTCATCGTTTACACGTCGGACATCGGTACGAGAGGATTGTTCGAAAGCGGGAATTTCTTCAAGAAACTTGGGGAGGTCGGGAACAGCGGAGAGAAAGGCGCCGAGGACGCCCCCAAAGGAAAGAAGCGTAGGAAGCGTAAGGAGGGGGAGAAGAGTGAGAAGAAGGCCAGGGGTGGGAGAGGCGCGGACAAGGCCGAGAAGAGTGAGAAGAGGACAAAGAGGCGGAAAGGCGCCGACAGGGGCGAGAATAGTGAGAAGAGGACCAAGAAGAAGAGTGACAAAAGGACCAAGCGGAGGAAAGGCGCGGACAAGTCGGGAGAAGAACAGGCCGATGCACGAGAGCCCGAGGAGCCCGAAGAGCCCGAAGAGCCCGAGGAGCCCGAGGAGCTCGAGGAGCCCGAGGAGCCCAAAACGGTCTACCGATACGAACCTCTTCGTACGAAAGACAAGGACTACTGTGCGGTCCTTACCTATATCCACGACAAAGTGCAAGAAGCAAACAAGACGAAGAAAGGTGCAGGAGGCGCGCAAGAAGAAGAGGAAATGGTGCCAAAAATACTCACCTTCTCCAAGGTGAAGGCTGGCAGAGCAAGATCTATCAAGGGGTCTAACCACGAGTGGCCTCTGGACCATCTGTTTCTGGATATCAAGATGCACAGCGAAAGCGTGAGCCAAGCAGCGGGACGCGCCCAAGGCGTTGACCGTCGCCCACTGGAACTTGGGCCAACGATGTGGGGAAGCAAAGCAATGCAGCACCGTCTCGACAAAGCCATCGTGGCCGACCAAGCATGCCGCGAAATACTGAGGCAAGGAAGCACTCCTCTCCAGGTGATGAGGGACTTGCATGAAAATGCAAAGATCATGTCGAACGGTGGAGAGCTCGTCGTCGACTCGGATGTGCTTCGGACTATCGGTCCCACGGGACACAGTCGAAGGGGTACGTGTCTCGCGTACGCCGGGGAGCACGCGGAAGTTACGCGCATAGTGAAGCAAAAACAGCTCGGCGTTGTCCCGGCTGCCACCGTAGATGCGAAGAAAAAAGAAGAGGCCGCGAGCTTGCTGCCTCCCGCCGGAGATGCGATGGAACAGGAGGAAACCGGAAGCGTTCTGCTGCCTCCCGCCGGAGATGCCATGGAAGAGGAGGAGGAGGAGGAGGAGGAGGAGGAGGAGGAGGAGCAGGCGGGTGTGTGGGAATTTGATGAACACGAGGAAATGGAGACAGCGTCGGCAGAGGCCGGTGCAGACGGAGACCCTGAACCCGATGCTGCTTATTGGGTTTCTAACCACCTTCAAGACATTCTGGGCACCATGGTCCAGGCACTTCGTGAACGCAAGAGTTCGATGACCATCTCGCAGATGGCAGACGACATTCCTGGAAGGGATGGATATCCCACTACCAACGTATCGTCGCTGTCGATCGTGCAGTACATCATCGATCACCATTATGACGAGATGGATGTGGCCGGGGCATACTTTTTGGTCAACAACTTTTTTCCATAGAGAACAGTGTCGTCAACTTAAGCATGTTGGAAACTTAAAATGTTTTGCATGATAAACCAAAAATATGACTAAACCGATGTCTCCTGAAATATACGATGCTTTTAAAAAGTGCGACGGACAGTGGATGCAGAGACGACGAAAGCTAGATACATCTTCCCTTTTCTACACGCTCACCAAGTGTTGTATTCAAGAGAGAGGTGTCGCTCACATACTGAGGATGGAAAACGAACAGTACTCGTCCCAGGCGATACATTCGGCCAGAAAGAAGCTTCCACCAGGGGCTTTCAAGGAAGTAAACCGGTTCTTGCAACGAGGACCACATGAACCACGCGTATTCGCTGTAGACGGTTCGAAAGTGCACGTGCACCCTTCGTTCATCGGGGCTGGATATGTGACCCGGACGAACAATAAACCGGTCCCGCGTCCCGCGAAAAGACCTCTTGTCATGCTTTCTTCGATGGTGGACGTAAAAACAAAAGCGTGTGTGGACTTTGAGCTCACGAAACACTTCAACGAAAGAAAGGCAGCCACTGAGATGCTCCGATGTGTACGCAAGGGGGATACTCTGGTGTTTGACAGAGGCTACTACTCCAAGAACTTGCTGCGAAGCGTACATGACTCGCATGCGTTTGGGGTTTGGCGACTCAAGATAAATGCGTTCAAAGGCACTAGGCCTTTCTTCAACTCGTGTCACACGGAAGCAACATGCCTTATTCTTGGTGTCAGGGCGCGTCTCTTGAAGTATTTTATTTCTGGTAAAACATATGTTTGCCTGACGAACGATCTATCGCTATCTCGGAGGGATATCAAGGTCATGTACGCGTCGAGGTGGAGGGTGGAGGAATCCTTAAAACGATTGAAATCAAACCTCAAACTTGAGAAAGCACATGCAAAAACTCCGGCTCTTTATATCCAGGAGGTAGAAGCACGGGTCTTGTTAGACACAATCACACTGAGGCTGCAAAAATCGATAAAGGAACCATCGTATATCTACACACTTGATACATACGTCACACATATCCTTAACAACGTCAAGAGAGTTTCGAACCCCGTGAAATTGAGTGCACATTGTGAGACAAATGTGTTATCAAAGAAGCGAAGTCGCTTCCATGGTCGCATATATGATCATCATCGCCACGGACCATTTTTTTCAGACGAACTGACTTAGCACTCCCGTGTTCCGTGTCAGTGTACCCATCGAGTTGGACATATCACGGGGCCCCTACATGGACAAAGTTTTACCGGAAACAATAGAAGACGTGCCAGGTGCCCGGCCCCTTCCCGTCACAATTTCGAGCTCCACCGCCAAACAACATGGAGTCAGAAGAAAACGATAGTTCCAAAAAACCAATTTCGGGTATCAAACGTAAGCGTGCGAAGTCCGGTTCATCGGATAAGGCGCCCGGAGATGACGACGAGAACTCACCCGACATACATGCAAAGAAGGAGTTGGCCACGTGGGCTGTCGCGAGAGGTATCAAGAACCCACAGACAAGGGTCTGCTCCGTGACGTCTTCCATGGACGCCTGTGTACGGGAGGATGTTCCCGGTAAGGATGTTCTACTGCGTCAAATCGACAAGGACGCCAAGTCCCTTGGGATACTTCGTCACCTCGTTTCTGTGTGCCTGAACGTGCTTGCGGAGAAGGACCCTTCGAACACTCTGATCGTCAACCGGACATTTATTCAACAACTCTTCACGCGAATATCGGGGAATCCTCTTCACAAGAGAACAAGGCCTCTGCATCATCCTGATCTGCAATCGTACCTTGACGAATCTAAGTTGGACGACGAGACGCTACGACAGGTTGAAAAATTCCCTCTTCGATGCCGAGACGCCCTCTGCGGAGAAATGATGACGTCTATCAAGACACACATATCCGGCAATTTCGAGAGTAGATTGATGGATCACCTTTCGTGTCGCCTCGAGAGAAGACTGTGGGAGTGCCGGGACGACGAACACTTTTGGACGAATATTCCCCGTGCAGCAAAGAAGATTTACGAGGCAGCTGGACAGAAGACTCCTGAAAGAGCTTTGCCAATTATACGCAAGTTCGTGGACCAGAAAAGAGGAAGTGAAAAGGAGCTGCTTCGTCCTGAGTGGGGAGAAGCCATGGAGCACCTGTTGTCGGAGTACAGGGGCCTCTTTGAACCTTTGCGTGTGAAGAGACCTCCACCCAAGGACCCCCCCGAACACCCGAAGACAGAAGAAGAGTTGACTGGGCGCGAAGATTTCCTGTACAACGTGAAAGCCAGGCTGAACGATGTCTTACGGATCGAGGCCGGGTGTCGTAAGGTAGATTTTCACCTTCGAAAGAGGAGAGGAGAGATCTGGTCCGAAATCAACGAGAGGCAGCAGTCCATCAAGTCATCCAAGACGAAAGAGGGGTTCTTGAAACAGCGACATCTTCTGCAAGAAATACCTGTACCTCCATGGTTCGACGAGGGGATCAAGATGAGCAAGAAGGACGCGTCGAATCTCGTGCGCGACGTTCGAAACACGAGGAAGGACATGTGGAAGAGCATGAGGGAGCCGGGAACGGAGGATCCACCGAAAGCCTTCTCACTGATGCCACACTTCTCTCTCACAAGGGCGTTCGTGAGGTACGACAGCCAGAGCATCGGCACCCTCGCCAAGTCTCTTGATTTCCCCGGTGTGTCGGAAAACCAGGTCACTTTGAAGACCACTGGTGTGAAGTGTTCTGGGAAAGCTGAAAGGCTCTGGTGGACGGGCATCTTTGACTTTCATTCGGAGAGGATCGTGAACAGACGCCCGAGCACCGAGAAGAATCAGACGCAAAGGACGCGGAAAGTCCTTCGCCTGAACAACCGCTACCGAAAGGGAATCGGTGTATGCAACAAGGACCCGTGGTTCACCGACGAAGTCCTTTACTCGGCGAAGAGAGATGACCCGAGCTGTGAAACACCCTGGATCGTCAATTCGATATCTACGGACGGCCTACAGGTCAAGGTTTGCCTGGCTACTCTTGCCAAAACCAATCCCCTGCCGAAGGGTGTGAAGGAGCTCGTGAAGAAGGGCTACGCATCTATCCAGGACAAGCTTCGAGTATCCAAAAGCTCCAAAGGCGTTTTCAAGGAGGCCTTCCCTCTCTACGGTACAGAGAAGTCCCGTCTTTCTTCCCCCGACAACCACATTGAGGTTGTAGGTCTTGACCCCGGGCAAGTCTCCGTCTACGCGACGGTGAGAGCGAACATCACGTCTCCGAAGACATTCGAAGCTTCTGAGTTCAAGGGATCACAGTCGTCCATTTCTTCTCGAGAATACAAGCACCAGTCGCTTACCCGCTTCAGCGCCAAGGCAGAAGTCGGGAGGAGACTAGATCACGTGGAATATGGTCAAGCGGTTCAAGCCTTCGACTCCGTGTCGCTAAAACAGCCTGGTTCATCTGTTGCGTACTCTTCCGTAATCTACTGCACGCTACGTGTTAGAGTAGTGGAACTGCTTTCAGAAGAGCGTAGACTCCAGAAGTTTGCCAGACTTCGTGCGAGACAACGCACCGTTGACGGTATGGCTAGGGACATTGCTTTCGGAAACACTTACAAGCAAGAGGTCAGGAAGGAGCAACGGTCTTCGGCCGAACCGTTGTCACCAGAGAGGAGAAAGGAGTTGTTGAAGAAGATTCGAGATAAGAAGAGGGTTGTTTTCTTCGGCAACGGTCAGTTTGGCCATGGTGCGAGAGGAGCTTGTCCTAGGAAGGCGCTGATTCGAGCGCTGGGTGTCCTTTGTCCGGTGGTATTGGTGGACGAGTTTCGAACGTCAAAATGCTGCTGTAGTTGCGGCGTTCCACTCAAGCAAGTGGATGGTTCTCGGGTATTTCGCTGTTCAAGCCAGATGGACGAGGGCCAATCTTGCTCCGTGAAGTTTATCGACAGAGATACGAATGGTTCGGCCAACATAGGAGTTTGTGGCGTGTTTCAGCTCCTGGGATTGAAGAGACCATCGTTCCTTTGTCGTAAGTCTAGCGAGGGCAAGTAGGTGTGTTTAGACACATTTAGCGAATTTTCTACCTACCAACTTCTTAAGTTGACGGTAATGATACAGAAGAGTTTGGATATTTGTGATATGCATATACAGTAGCGATAGCGTTCTCAATGTGCGCAGTTTCTTCACGTAAGCATTCTGGTACTGTTGAAAGGTATTTCTATTTGTCGCAACTCGCAGCGTTTTTTATCGACGCTGGCTTCATAACGTTTTCAATCATATGGGATACTTTTGTCCACTTCTTCACTGCGTCAAGAAGGACCTGTGCGTCAAACACTTTCACGCCCTTGTCCTGTTTCGTCACGAACACGGACTGGTAGACATACACGTCCACGTGTTTGTGTTTACATGGTTCGTGGTGACTTTTGAACCTGATCGCGCGCCCGATGACCTGGTTCATCTGAGGGATGTTCCACCAAAGGTCAAACATGAAAACTTTTGACGTGCACTGGAGATCTAGGCCGACGCTTCCCGCTTTGCTAATGATAAGCAGGTCCATCTCCCCATTGTTGAAGGCTTGCTTGATACGCATTCTCTCCCCCGCTGAAGTATCGCCGTTGTACGTGGAAATTTGAGGAGAAACAATGTTCTTCTCGTCGCACAGACGTCTTATCTCTCCCTCCAAGTCAGCGATCGTGTCTTTGTGATACGCGTACAGCAAGAGCCTTCCCCGGCTTAAACGGTCCGGGTCGTGCTTCGACTGCTTTCGACTGTGGGATTTCTTGATATCCCTCACAACGTCACTTGCAACCTTGGCAACCTTTGGAGTCACACGTCCCTTTTGCCTTTTGGGATGAGTGTTGACAATTTTTCGTTCTCTAGCGTAGAACGGGTGCTTTTCTCTCTGTCCCGGTGATTCCTTCTTTACCGTCTTATTGAGCTTCACATATGCGGCGTTCTGCGACGGCGAGAGCTTAACGTTTCTCATAGAAACTTTGTATCCAGGGAACTTGTTTGCACTGTGAAACTCCGTCCCACGTTTCCTCAGGTAATTGTACTTGGGGCCGATGTTGTACATGGACACCTTATCCCTCAAAAACTTTTTTTTCTCGCTTGACGTGGTAGTGCTCTTGTCCCATTTTTGCTTTGTCCAATTGTCCTTTTTTTTCCTGTAGAGCAGGTTGATGAGAGGAACAATTTCAGACGGCGCGTTGGGCGCAGGGGTTCCACTAAGCAACATCAAGTACGACACATCAGCTTTCGCGAGAGCGTCGTACTTGATGCCGGTAAACATGTGGGCTTCGTCTACAATCACAAGAGATTTGCTAAACTCGCGCGCCTTCTTGTTCAGAGCAAACTCGTCGTGCGTCAACACCCTGATTTTCCCCGCAATCTGGGGGGTGATGCCAGCTCTCTCAAATGAGTCAATGAACTCGCCAACCGCTACATTTGGAGCGAGGATGTTGACAAACTTCACCCTGTTTTTGGCAATGTACTCCTTTGCGACCCAAAGGGACGTGAGGGTCTTACCGGATCCCATGCCGTGCGCGATCAACAACCCTTTCGTGTTTGCATACTGTTTTTCCTTGTTTTTCGTCGGGTCAGCAACCCGCTTCATGAACTCGATCACATTGCACTGGTTTCTTTTTTCGGTCTCCTGTTTTCGACCCAGTGCGCGTGTTCTTGCCGTATCTACGCGGTCGTCAACCGTCGACCGGGTCGGGTTTAGCATTTTCGGAGCAGGTTTTGACGGACGAACTCGCTTTTTTTCGGCGCTAGGGTCGTACCGTACCCGCTTGGCTCGTGGACGTCCGCTGCGACCGACCACCCCACCAACACCAACCCGTTTTTGCGAGGAAACAAGATCCTCCTGGAGTCGCAGCATCTGCCTCGCTATCTTTTTCTTTTTAGCCTCCGCTTCCTTGATACTGTTTTTCTTTGTGTCCTTTTCTGCGGATATTGGGCTAGGGGCGAAGGTGATGCCGCTCTTTTTCATGGCTATGGCTACGGCCATTGCAAGATCGTTCTCGTAATTTTGTGAAACCGTCATTGGTTAGTAAGTACTGTACCCCAACAAAATATTTACAGTTATTATCGCGTGGGGTAACATTAAAACATGGGCTGCGGTGGCTCGCGGAGTTCGCGGACGTTGCCTGCCGTTCGTTTCCCATCGTCGACCGGCGTCATTGGCGATGATGACAACGACGGCGACAAGGATGCGCGTGTCTACCACACCTGCTGTCATTGCGGACGACGATCACCATTTCCATCGCGTGCGTCGCTATCAAACTCAAACTCATACTCAAACTCGTTTTTTTCACACTCGTTTTCGACCCCCAATGCAGCATCGATCCCGAGCCCCGGGCCCTGGTCAGGCGACAGCACGCGCAGCAGCCTGGACGACGGTAGTGAAACAAGTACGGCAGGTACAGCTTACTACTCACCCGCATTGAACGCCAGAAACAAGCTCGTGCTTGACCCGACCCTATTCCCCGACGTCATCAGTCCGTTCGCGGCTCGCGGCGTCCGGAACACCAACATCGACACGGCGTGCGGCTCGCGGTTCTCCGGTTCAAGCTCTTCGCTGTCGTGCAGTTTGTCTGCGCCATCGTCTCACTGCTCCGACGAACGCTACCCGCTCCCCCCGCTTTCGGTGCGAACGGAACCTTTCCCACGCTTAGACAAATATTAACCGGAAACAGTGGCCGATGAGGCAGAGCGCTGTGTGAGTACAAACTCTAGCAATGGGCATCACGGATTCTAAGGTGTATGACTTGGAGGACAAGGTCCTCGTTTTGCAGCGCGAGATGAAGCAGCTGCAGGAGAAGATGGGCCAATCGACAAAGAATGTCGAAGAGCTGACGAAGAAAATGAAAACGCAAGAACAGCTGATTCTGCAGCTCGACGATTTCGCCAGAGTAACGTCGGACGAACTGCTGGCCAGGAGACGCCCGCGTCATTACAACTGGGGCTTATGAGAGTGTAGACAGAAATAAAATGTTGGGTGTGTGTAGACTGCAAAGATGGGCAACTCGCCGTCGCTGACCAGATCGTTTAAAAAAACACGTTCGGAGATTGAATCGATCAAGGGCGATGGAGGAGGAAAGTGGGAAGAGCTGAACGTCTGTCTTTTATGCCAAAAAAATACCTACCAGACAGCCCTAAACGATACACCTACCGGAGAGGTCAAAAGCGCCATCACAGACTTCTTGAATGAGGTGTACGATACGAGCGACGCCGCTACCTTTAACTGGACCACTTGGGACGTCGATCATGCAGACATCGTGTTGGCGGAGATGGAGGACTTGAGAAATCCAAACACCGCGCCAGCATTTGACGTCATGGTTGAGCTACACTGCGAAATTGCCTGCCCCGGTAATGAAAGTGCGCCACCGGCCGATGATTACCGCGCGATGTGCAGGTTGTTGAAACAGGGGGGGCTTCTCGTTGTGCCACGAGATTACGACGAGATAAACCATATTGCGAGAATACACCCTGAATACATTTGCCAAGACCCTTCGGGTGCGGAATTGGTTCCCATATTCTCCGTAAGTCCTGGTGAAGGAGACACGGAAGCAAACCCTCTTGCGGATGGGATAACTGTTTTCCGAAAAATGTAAACGCCACAGGCAAAAGCCATGAGCCGACCTTTTTTATTTGTTGGTAAGCGCATGGTCCCGCGGACACCCGTTGTTCACGGCCCACGCCATCATTTCCGAATTTCCATTTAACTCTGCCGAGTGGTAAACGAATCGCTCGAGTGGGAAGCCGTTGGCAACTGCCCATGCGAGCGCTCTCAAGTTTTCACCGGCGACGGCCCCGGCGGTGCATGTGTAGAGTGCTGTCGGGCGTTTGTTTGCGAGAAGTAGGTCGAGCACGCGTGTATTGCCGATTTTGGATGCGTGGTAGAAAGCGGCGTCGTTTAAAGACCTGTTGCTTTTGAGGGTTGGAAGGACGCTGCCAACCCTTGACACGCTGGCGACGGCTTCGCACAAAGAAGTCTGCCTGTTTCCGCCATAAGCTTGCCGCCAGGTTTTGCTGACGGTTGCGATGTGTAGATATGCGTTACCGCAAAAGGAAATGATGTGTGAGATCGTGTCGGGGTTCATTTTAATTTACGCCTACATAAAATTTCAACACGTGGTTGGCACAGCTCTTCCGATATCATCAACAAAACCAAGCGTGCCTCTTCCCCCCATACTTGACGGCCAATCCTCTGGATATTAGGTCATCTCCTACATTGACTCCATCACTTGTTTCAATACTTCCGAGGAGCCTTCCGAACTTGTCAAATTTTCCCAGTTTCAGTGCGACGATCTTGCCCAGCACCAACTCTTCGACACGGGCCTTTGCCTTCAACCCGAGAGCTTTTTCCTTTTCGTTGCTCGTGCGGACTTCCGGGGAGTCGATATCGAATATGCGCACTGGAAATGTCCATGCGTGACCATCTACGGCAATGGAAACCTTGCAAGAGTCTCCGTCAATGACCCTGACAACCTTTCCCAAAACTGACCTCCCCTCGAGGCTGTAGTCTGTAGAAAGCGCACACATGTCGTGTATTAACTGAAGTACTTGGTCATCCGTCTTTCCAGAAACTGTTTTGTATGCATCGAGTGTCTTTTCGTAAAAGTTCATGATATCACTGATAGACGCATATATTTTTTTCTCGAATTTCAGGTTTGTTCGGCAATCACCTCGTCAAGAACTTCCTTCACTTTCTCAAACAACCAAAACGGCCTCCCCCACACCAAGTCCACGATTTCAACACACAGAGCATCATCTTCCACCATTCTTGTACAGGTGTCGCTCTGCATTACATGCTTAACCTCGGGTAAAAGGTTTCCAACAGAGTATGCCAGGGAGTGAGTTGTCATCGGCGAGTTTGTAAAAAAATCGGGTTCATCATCGCCCTGTTGGTACATTGTTACATTAATGGAATGTATCATAGAAGGGTCACTAATATCAACTTAAGAAAACCGGAACTATCAAGTTGTAGTGAACAAAAACAGATAGAAACAACTAAGTTGTCTCCTCAAGGGTCCAGCTTTTAGGGTTTTTTAAACCTCGGAATATCCCACTGTTTCCAGGCAAGTCGTTTGTTGAAACTTCGGTTGCGAAAGCTCGTCGTCGTTTCTTCGTAGCGTGTTGATGTTGTAGACCTCGTGTAGCCGTGTTGTGATGTCGGCCATCTTCTTTCTCTTTTTCTTCTTCTTCGTCTTCGATTTTGTAGTGGTGGTTGCCATGGTGAAGGTGAATTGTGAGCAGCGTGGGCTACCAATACACTCAAATATTTACATATAAAATTGAAAAATGTGGTCTTTCTTCTAGATCGTTTCGAGTTGGTAAGATTCGCCAAATTGTTCTAGAAAGCTTAAGTTGATAACAATGAGAAGGGTGGGGGGAAGGGCCGTGCAGACCGATGAAGAAGTCTACGCCATCAACCAACCGCATCTTCTGCTGAAACTTTCGCCCGAGGTCTTTCGCCAAGATGCCGCTGATGTACGATCGTTGCCAATGTGTTACCGGAGGATTAAGAACTCCACCGTCAGCATGATGAGTTATCTGCTTTTTCGCTCCCATTTGCGAATCCGTCGTCACGAGACCCCTCTTATTAACCTCGGATAGATGTGGTCTTGCCTGCGCCATCGACGTGTCTTCTGCCACAAGTCCAACGCGAGCTGTCGTCAACATCGCGTCGGCACTCAACTTCCCAAGCGCCTGTACGGGAGACAATTCCTCAGCGCCGTTGTCCCCGAAACAATCGTAGATCTGCTGCCTTCGGATACGATTGCTGCTACGTCGCACAGGTGGCGGTTGACGCCGGCGCTGGCTGGGAGGTGTGCCCGGTGGCGTGGCTGATAAAGGAGACGACATTTATGTACTTCTTCATTGACATAAAAAAACGTGAAAATTGCAAAATAGGAGTTTGCCAAAGAGTCCCTCTCCTCTGCCAACCGGCGGCACCACTATGCCATAGCTGTTTGCTTCGGCTACGACGCCACACTGCTGTGTCCGGAGTGACGTTTCCACCTGAGTTGCTTAATGAGTGTCTGTAGAAAGTTCGTGTACTGCTCTACACGACCTTTGTCTCCACCGTGCAGATTCGGGCAGATGCGTCTGCCAACCTCCTCCTGCTGTGCACACTCTCTCTCGAGAGCCTCCATCTTGACCGCGCGCTCTGCGCATATCTCGCGATGAAGCCGTTCTTGTCGCACGTTCTCTTGTCGTACAATCTGCAGTAGCCGTAGTTTGTTCCTTTGCTTCTGATACATGTCCTCACTGCGATGTTCGAGCAACATTTGCGCCTTCCTTTGCTCCAACCGGAGGCTTTGCACTCTGTGCGCTTTCCAGTCCGACTGCATCTTTCTATCCTCGCGAAGAATGGAGTTTTCCGTCAAGACACTCTCATACTCGTCGAACTCGCACACGATACCCTCCAGCATGTTGCACGCAGTTTCTATGTCAGTTCCCAAAAACTCTGTTGAAAGGCGTTCCGCGTCTATCACTTTTTGTGCCACTGCGTGAACGAATCTCGGCTGTGCCATGTGCAGCGACAGCCAATCTTCGACCGCAACATGCGAGACCACACCAAGCCTCGCTGCTTTATCGAGAGCAAGCTCAATCTTGTCGTCGGGAGCCCGAAACACTTGGCCATCGTCATCGATGGCGACGGCGCCGCCCAGATTGTAAGTCATCCCTATGATGGCGTCCTTGTGAAACATCGATCGTTGACGCGCGACATACAGGTCTTCTCCGGCAGATGGGCGGACGGTAGGGGCTGGCACGGCAGCGGATAATACGCCAAGTTCGTCCATCGATCGAAATTGTGCTGTTGAGGGGAAGGTGTGTTGTGACAGGGTGTGGGGACTGTGGTGGTGCGTTTCGGGTCTGCAGTTTGAAACCACTACCGCGAAGTCACGGGTCGGCGTGACGAGCACATGCTTGAGCGCGCCATTCGGCATCTCGTTCAGTCACTGACTTAAAAAATATTGCAACTTGAAATAAGTTCATCATGACCATACGCGTCGACCATGCATCCAACAGGGCGTCCGTCACGGACGTCGCAAGATTGCTTCTGAAATGTGATGCGGAGGCGGCCGATAGCGCCGTCGGCAAGTTGCATCACGACTTTCCAAGCGTGCGAGTCAACAAGAGGGGAAGGCTCGCGCTTGTGGCACCCGTCGACAAGCTCGTCGATGTTGTTTGGCTGTTGCCCGGCGCTGTTGCGGACGACGTCCAACGCGACATCTCGCTTGAAGTGGTCAGAGCGTTGGGCGGCAACACGAGACTCGTCGAGGAAGCGGAGGCGCGTCACATCGCCGTGAGAGAAGCGCGCCTTAGCGCGAACGCCGCGTCGGAGGAAGACAGCGTCGGCGTCGACGACATGCCACCCGCGGCGAAGTATTTGTGTGATGACGATCGGCAGCAGGTCGCCAAAAAAGTGATCGAGCAGTCCTTGAAAAGGAAGAGGATTGAGATCGAGGAGCGAGAGATTGAAATCACGCGCAAGCGCTGCGCGAACGTCATGACTTGCTACACATGGATGTCTGACCTTGGCTACGAGTTCAATTCGAGCACAGTCTTTCACATTCTTGATACCATGGCCTCCCTCACACGAACAGTATCTACGTGAAATCGGTCTATCCTTTCGTGCGAAGCGCGTTGACAGAGCCTTCGTCGAAGCGGCCTATCAATATTTTCCAGAAACACGAAAACATTTACCCATGACTTTTTCACAATCTTTTCAACCCTGGTGTTCAGTACTTAACCATCACATGACCGAAAATGGTACGGATATGCAAATGTGGTGCAAACATCAACTCATTTGATTCTCATCTCAGGGTTCGACTCACACTGATTTGTAAGGAATGTGTTTACTCTGATGAGCTCGTAACCAAGAACCAGGCCCTGGCGAGGGGGTTGCGTGGTGAGGACTTGAAGCACATCAACTGTTTCGACAAGACTAATTTTTTTTACAGGAGCGGTCCTCGAAAGTACGTGTATGAAGAAGTACTTCTGTTGAAAGGTGTGGTCCAGGCAACCGCGGAGAGAGAAAAGAAGAGCAATGATGCCAAAGAAAACCAGGCAAAAAAAGCGAGACTCGACTGCTTCAACAGCAGACTGGCGAGACTGGACGGGCTCGTGCCGACGCCTGGATTGATTTCCGGGGACTTCTGTAGCACCAGGAACAAGAGGCCCAAGATTGGGACCAAACTTCTCGCGAAAAGAAGGGCCTTGTGGAACCGATGCGCTGGTGTGGACATCCCTACCTCTGTCAAAGTTTTCAACTGGGCGACTTCCAACAAGAAGCTCGACACAACCGTACCCGATGCTCTGTTGTGCATCTACCAGGAACGACACCTCTTGGACAGAATAGCGACGGTGGAGGGCCACAGGGTTCTTGGATTTCTCAACCAAACAGAGCGCTTGGCCCTTTTGAGGATCAATGCTACGTTCGAGGAGAGTCGGAACGGTCTTCCCGTTAAAACCATGACGCCCGAGCTACTAGGCCTGTGCGAGAAACTCGCGGATCGCATGAACACTCCATTCGAGAGGGTCGTCGCCAAGCTGGACGAGTCCAAGGATTGTTGGTTCTACAAATACTTGCACAGGATGACAATCAGGCGACTCTCGTGTATATTGGCGCCTCACTTCCTCGGGAGCTCGGCGAAAAGAGCGATGCTGATCAGGGATAGAGACGAGTCGTTTTCCAGATGGGGGTTACCCTGGTCCGACGAGCCGGAGTTGATAAACTACGGGGTAGATTATGCCAGGAACGACATCGTAGATGTAGAGCTCTACTCGGCTTCGCGATATTTGTCGAAATATGACATCCCCAGGACCGGACTAAAAGTGATTGAATCCCGAGTCATGAACGAACCCGGTTTGACATGGATGAACGCTACCAAAGCGTATGTCGAAAAGGAGTTGGTGGCAAGGCGAAGCAGAGCACGTGAGAGTTCCGCGAGGATACGGATGAGCCGGGAAGACAAGTTTGTTAACATGTTTCGACACTGTCGCTGCGGTAGCTTAGCCGCCAAGCTATGTGTGTTCACAAGATGCGGTAATTGTTGCGAGGGCCCGTGTGCTAGACATGGTAGCATGTAGCATGATTTAGCATGCGGGAAGGGCAAAGGAAGTAGATCGGGAGAAGAGTAGGTGCGTGAAAAGCAGCCAAGAAAAAAAACTTGTTCTGTTTACAACCATGAAACACTTGTTTCTACCCGTCTTCAGCGGCACCGGTTCCAAACCGGTGGCCTACATCGGCCCGTCTTTGAACCTCAGACCTGTGGCGCGAAAACACCTCACGCGACCACAAAAGTGGGCAATACTTGAGCGCCAGCGATCGCGCTGCAACTCTTGTGGCGATCGCATACGGATATACCCGTACGCCGACTGCGACGCGGATCATATTATTGGCGTCTGCCGTGGAGGCAAAACTGTTCCAGAAAATATGAACTTGCTCTGCCTTCCTTGTCACCGACGAAAAACTTGCCTCGAGGCGGGAGGATTGCCGAGGACAGTCGACGTGGCGTTGGAACCTGGTGATACCAGTGTGTACATTTTCACGGAGGGTGTATTGGCGTACCCCGTTGACAAAAGAACGCCTCTCGAGGCGATCACCAACGGGTGTGCCTTGTCGCTTCTGACTTTCAATAAAGTGGACAGGGCGTATGTAGAGCCGGCCTACGGGGAGGTAGATTATGCTAAAATGTTAGCAAAGTTTGCTTACACGCCGCCGCCAACTGTCACTTTTGGATGTCAACCTTGACGGGGTGAAATAATGTTGTGTGATGTCAAGAAACATGATTCGTTTGGTTATCGAGGCCGTCGTTGTTGGCGTGGTCATGATCCTTGCGGGGTATCCATGCGGCCTACTCGCATCCAAACTTTTGCCGATGAAAGGTGGTGATCACCGTCCGGTAATGTATCTCAGTCTCTTCCTGACGGGGCTGTCTTCGCACCTGCTTTTTGAGGCGCTCAAAATCAATTTGTGGTACTGTTCGAACGGATTCTCTTGTTCGACGTAGGCTAAGCGACGCTTCGGGGCCAAGGGTGGCTTTTCGTCGATGCTGGGGTCAAAGCAAAGAGCTATTATACATTGGTGCCGGTTGGCAGAGGAGGAGTGCTCTTCGATCGATGCGTTACAAGAGACAGCCTAAAATAACGCTTAATACGCTCGGACTCGCTTTACAGAAAGCCCACAACCGTGCGCAACACTCCCTCATCCGTCACTGCAAGTAGCCACGCCGCCATGCCTCCCAAAACGATGCCTTCCTCCGTCCTCGCCACCTTGCAACCTTTTTTCTCTGTCTTGCGACGCTCACGCTCACATAGCATAACCAGCCAGCCCCGGCGGCGCCACGTCCTGTCGGCGGGGGCGTTGACCAAAAGCTTGCGCACTTTGTCCTTTGTTTCTGCGCTGTGCCTGGTAAACCTGTCCTCAGTCAAATGATTCATAGGAGTTCTTCCAGAGGAGTCCACTACAGTTTCATCCGCGCCCCACCGCAGAAGAAGATCCACCAAAGCTTCAGTGTTGTCACGATTTGTACAAGCATTGTGCAGGACGGAAGAGCCGAATAAATAACAGCGAGTGTTGACGTCTGCCCCGTAGCGGAGGAGAAGTAGAGCCATATCCACCGACGATGACGAGGCGGCGGCGTATGAAAGGCTTGACGTTCCCGTCTGGTCTTCTGCTGATGCGGCGGCACCGGCTTCGAGAAGGGTAGCCGACACACAAAGGTGGTTTTCCGACACGGAACATATCAGCGGTGTCATCATATTTCCGTCCACTGCGTCGATACGAACGCTGTTCTCCAGAAGAAAGTTAACTACATCGTTGTGTCCTCCGAATGCAGCAGCGTGTAGAGCAGTCGCCTGGCCAGGAATAATGTCAGAATGACTCGGGTGGTATTCTGCCGTGCCGTCGAGATCGACACCCTTGGTCGACAAGGCCTTGACAACAGGAAGATTGCCGCTTTCTGCTGCCTTGAGCAAGGCGGTTTGTAGAAAGTGTCCACGACTCTCATACCCATCAGGCAGGCCGTCTTGTAGGTTCCCGTCCAAGACATTGTTGAACGCCTCATGGAATCCTTCCTCTACGCCACAACGTAGGAGTCCGACAGTGTCACAACACACACTGGCGCCTCTGAGAACCAGAGTGTTGACGACACGCAGGTGACCGCCTTTGGCTGACAGTAGCAGCGCGCTCTCACTTGTGCTGTCCCAAGTCTCGACGTCCGCTCCCCTCCTCACGAGAAGAACGGCAACTTCGTCTTGGCCACATCCGGCGGCAAAATGGAGAGCAGTCTTTTCACACTTGACGCTTTTTTTGTTGATGTCGGCGCCATGGTTCAGCAGCTCGCGGGCGACATGAGCGTGGCCTTCGCGGGCTGCAAGCATCAGCGCTGTTTTCCCCCCACCCTGGAAATCATCCGTGCCCTTTCCCTCGCTCGACACCAACAGGTTCACCACGTCCTCCGTTCGCCCGTCCTCCGAAGCGATGTGGAGAGGAGAGTATCCGAGATCGGTTCGCGCCCACTTGAGCTTTTTCGCCAGCGTGTTGTTCATAGACCCGGGTGCCGCCATGCTAAATTACAAGAAAGCAGTAAGAAAAAACAACAAAAAGCGCGTACAAAATTGCCAGAATAAAATGTCTTATATTTTTAAGGAATGCGATGATGAACGACATTGCCATCGATGCTACCACGGGTGACGTGGCCGTGAAGAGCATGATCAAGCGTATAATGCCAGATCTGAACGAAAACGGCATACTGAAATCTGTGCACCACGTTCTCGAGGGGACCGATGGCCCAAAATTATCAACACGTGTGATCAATGGCCGAGTGATGACTGTTGCCTCACTCGGGTTATGTTACGACATTCTTGAGAAAATGAGAGGTCCACGGTGGCGCGCTTGGCGATCGGGGTCAGCGCAGACGTTCAAGAAGGCTCTGCGCGAGCGAGTCGAGCGCGTACGCTCTTCGGGCCAAACCAATAGGCACGAGACACAGAAGCTCGCGTGTGCCGAACAAGTCGAGCAAATCCTGGTCATGCAGAAAGCTCTCCGGTCTGTCAGCATACATGGCTCCGTACGCATCGATGTGGACACGTGTACAGCGGCAATCATTGACACTATACGCGTGATTTGCCCCAATGTTTCTACCGCTAATGCTGCGCACATGCTCACACGCACCCTTGAAAGGGATAATCGCATTATATCGGTCGGCTCGCGTATTACGAAAATCAAAATCAACGGGCGAGGGCATGAAACGCCAGTGACGGACTTCAAAACTCTAATCGAAATTATTTGGATGCTACCAAGTGCCTTATCTAGGAGATTCCACTGGAAAGCTGCAGAGATGATGTACCGTGTAATGGGGGGAGATCTAAAGTTGCTCCGAAATATCGAGCGGAACAACTTGGCATGGATGTCTGTCCAAGGAGGAGAGGTGATTCAGCGGGCTTTAATCGAACCGATCGATCACACAGAAAAATACGTTTCAGGTAGAGTAAGGGAAAAATCCGTAAGGGATGCACTCGCGTTGATTGTCGGAGGAAAAACAGAGCAAGAAACACCCGTAGGGTTTATCGATGTACTCAGCGATACCGAGGTGATCGAGGTGAAACATTACACGCTGTGGAAGCACGGGCTTGGGCAAGTGCTCTCGTACCAACGACACTACCCCCACCTGGACAAGCGTTTACACCTTTTCGCACAAATCGGATGCAAGAATACCGACCAGTACTTGGAGAAGGCGAAGTCAACATGTGATTCCTTCGCGGTAAAGGTTACATTCGAAGAGGTTGTCGAAGACCCTGTTGAGCTCCGTAGCAACAGGGCTCGTGTTGATAACCAGCGGGGGCAATGGGAGGAGGGGTGGGGTGTCGACAATCGGGTTACCGATAAACCCGAGAGGCTAAGTCGTGCATACCGATCTGAGCACGGGTCCGAGCCATTCTGGTGGAAGCACTTGTCAATTGGAGAGAAGAGGGCCTATGCGTCGATGAGGGGTAAAATCAGCATCGCACAGGAAGAGCACGGAATCTTGAAAGTAAGCAAGAAGGAATTGGAGTCGATCGGGAATTTCAACAACCTCGATCGAGATGAGTTCGCGGACGGGATCAGAAATGTTAGAAGGCGGTTTACTGCTGCTGTCGATGGCCCCGGTGAGGCGTTTGTTTGCGAGCAGTAGGTCGAGCATGCATGCATTGCCGAATTTGGATGCAACTGCCACGACTGCACCAAGCACTCGTGCTCAAGGTGCCGGAGCTGCCGAATGTGGCGTACCGAGGCGCAAATTCAGGAAGGGGTGAGGCGGCACCTGTCGATGCGCTGATGAAGGAAGGATTGACATGAACCTTCAATCCATCGAGCAAGCCATTCGAGAAGTCATGCACAACCGGGGGCAATAACTCGGATGTATGCTAAGCTACACTTTGCCTCGCTTGCTCTCGCGAAAGGGTCAACTGGTCTCGCACGTCGTACACTTTCTCCCCGGCCGCCACCATTGCATGATCAATCAGGTCTTACAGGGGGGGCGCAATGTCGCGGTTATCGAGGGCACCGGTGGCGGCACATCGGACCAGCCCGAAACAGAGGGGCGGTCTGAAAGGGCTATCATTGCACTTCGGCAGTGTAATGATGCACGAAATCTAATCTGTTCCCGCGGCGTGGATGAGGTGACCCCCGGGTAAGCCGTCAGCCCTGCATGGCCACACTCATCGATATCGACACCGTGATGATCTAATACCGGGGAAAGCCCTTCCGCGAAAACACGTACTGGCAACGCGATGCCGACATCGTTCAAGAAGCCATCCGCATCGTATGCGGCCTGGAGGACAGTCCTTCGGAGAAGACACCTCAAACGCTCTTGGATTTTTTTCCAAGTGCGTGCCAACCCGAAAGCCAAACTTGCGAGGGAAATGTGACTGGATCAAGTGCAACAACGACAGGCTGAACAGACTTGGTATTCCGTGCATCGCGCATTATTGAAATAAGTTGACGACTTATACTTTCATCAATCTCCGCGCCACTCGCAAATAATCCCACTTACCACTTTGGATCATTTCGGAGAATTCGATCAACAGTGTGCGCATTGATGAAACGAACTCTACGACTTCTTGATCGCGTAGTCTTAAATGTCCTTTTGCAACTTCAAGATCTGTGGTTATGGTTCTCGCACCGCGGAGGATGTCGTCATGATCTTGTCTGAGATCGTCTTTATTCGCACTGGCTTTGCGATTACCCGGTGCATTGTACCACCGGCCGTTCATGGTTTTGAGTGTTTCGACCATGTTTTCAATTTGTGTTAAGGCAGATTGTAAGGATTGGTGAGGGTGAGATTTCATCCACGCCGATTTCTCATGGTTTATGCCAGGAATTATAGTGTCGAGGAAGTCGGTAAATTCCGTCTGTTTAAAACCATTGTTCCACTCGTGGAGCACCGGCTTGTTGTGACCAACGTATCGGGTTGCAAAATATTCATCTTCATGGTTCTGTAACTTCCTCATTGCCTCAAAAAGGCTTTTCTTCAATGCTTCAATGTCCACAGAAGCCACGGGATTCTTTTTTATCGCCGCATGACCTTCCTCCAAGTCTCTCAGTTTTATCCGTGCTTGGTGCAAATCGTTTTCAGCATCCGTGAGTGGTTTCTTCAAGTAAATCATGCGCAAGTTGTCCACAGGGGGAAGCAGTGGTTTGGAAGGATCGAGCCCGATACCGGCCTTGACCATGGGTGTGCTGTGCGCAGGAAGACGCCCGGTGTTGCTGAGACCGCTGCGGGACATGAGTCTTGCTGTTAGCGGATCCATTTTGTGATACATTGCACCAATATTAAAAAATCAAAATTTGTATATTACACCAAGTTCGGCAGCACCACACGTGGTACGTGACCAACGCTAACCTGTACCAGGCTACGCCATTCGGGGCCACATGTTTCGACGCGCCCCGTCGATGACGTCTTTTTCATTCGTTTTCTACGCGGGCCCTTTTGACATGAGACGGACCGTCGGTCGTATCCGCCTCCATTGCGGATAAACCGTACCGTTTTGCAGCTTGATCAACCCCCCCCCCCCTACGTCTCAAATTCAAGCCTATGTTCAACGCAGTTTTTCGTTCTCGATGTCAACAACGTCTTGATTTACCGGAATTTCTCACTAATATCAACTTAAGAAAACCGGAACTAATAAGTTGTAGTGAACAAAAACAGATAGAAACAACTAAGTTGTCTCCTCAAGGGTCCAGCTTTTAGGGTTTTTTAAACCTCGGAATATCCCACTGTTTCCAGGCAAGTCGTTTGTTGAAACTTCGGTTGCGAAAGCTTGTCGTCGTTTCTTCGTAGCGTGTTGATGTTGTAGACCTCGTGTAGCCGTGTTGTGATGTCGGCCTTCTTCTTTCTCTTTTTTTTCTTCTTCGTCTTCAAATTTGTAGTGGTGGTTGCCATGGTGAAGGTGAATTGTGAGCAGCGTGGGCTACCAATACACTCAAATATTTACGTATAAAATTGAAAAATGTGGTCTTTCTTCTAGATCGTTTCGAGTTGGTAAGATTCGCCAAATTGTTCTAGAAAGCTTAAGTTGATAACAATGGAATTTCTGGGCACCGGTGGTGTAATGATGCACGAAATCTAATCTGTTCCGGTGGCGTGGATGAGGTAACCCCCTACGATCCCCATGACCAAAAATATAAGATAAACCGTACCGTTTTTCAGCTCGATCGATCCATTCGGTCCGACTGTCGCCATCCCGAGGCTTCTTCTACTCACCAAGATTTCGTACACCATCCGAGCTATGTCTGCGTCCATACGTTCCAATGTTTGGGGGTAACTTCCATCGTCATCGAGTCCGTTATCGACCCCCCAAGCAATGGTACGCCGCTGCATTCTGGTTAATCTCAACCTGCGCCTCTGAATCTCATTCGTTCGCGAAAGATTCGGCATTGGTTGCGCCCGCTCCCACATGAGGTTGAGCTGCTCCACAAGTCGCTGCTTTCGATCTCTGAAAACGGCCAGTGAAAATTGCATTGCTCTTGAAGGAAAGGGAAGAAGTGCTCTTTCGAGGTGCTCGGCTGTTCTCTTCTCCGCTCTAAGTTTCTCCATCGTTATCGTGGCCCTACATGAAGGACACTTGCCGGAAGCTGTGACTGCTTCTCTGAAACACTTCTGGTGCAACACTTGACGCCCTCCGCAGCAGCTCGGATACATCACGGAACTGCGATCTTCTCTGTCATTAAGCTCGGTTAGACATATCGGGCACGTTGTGTGCTCTAGCTCACGGAGTATCATATTCGCCAGTCGGTCAGCCAAAGTTCCCCAGGGGATGTTTTCGGACGCACTAGCCACCTCGGACCGGATTTTTGTGTTCACGTGATACACCAATGGTGCATACATTTGTTTAAGCTCGTTGTCGAGACGGTCGCCCAAGTCGATGTTCGAAAGAGATGAAATCATTATCTTCAAAAGCTTGATTTCGGGGTCAGAAATGTCGGCTGGTTCGCTGAGTACAGGTGGGGAGGTTGCCGGTACGCAAATGTTCCCACCACCAGGTTTTGTGCTCGGTTGGAGTATGCACAGCTCGTCGCGAGTACACTCGGCTCCGTCGCCCCTGCTAAAGCAATTTTCGATCGACATGGTACATGGTATGTTATAACAATATTTTAAAGTTTGTGTCTACACCGTCGTTCTTAGACTTTCATCCGTATCACACATACAGGAGGAAAAGTAGTTAGCAGGGGTGTTGCGGCGCGACACACCTCATCTTACCGGCGCCCGTTCGCCTGTGATTCCTGGTAAGGAATTTGTGTTGCCAACAGAGGGGCTGCCCGACACATGCCCTTCTGGAGCACAACTTTCCCGTACGCAGAACAACGTTGCACATAATCGTTGGCGGAAACATCAACCTCAGTAGCTGCACCTCGGCGTCTCTGATCGACTCGCGCCGCTCAGCGACCGTGTCGGGGGCGACGACATGCCCGACGTGTATCACGGGGTGTGTCTGCAGGTATTGCGTCTGTCTGTCTCGGAGTCTAGCTCTTCTTGCGGTTTCTGATATAGTGAACTGCGGAGGGCCCGGCAGAGGTGGAAAATCCAGCAAACATTGTCTTGCTCTGTCCCTCAGTTGTATCCTCTTGTCTACCATCTCCACGGTGTTTACTGAGTTATCATGGAGCAGAGGTAGAGACATTGTCTCCGTGTGATCTGTCATTGATATCATCCAATTCCAGAGATGGGTCATGTGCGATCCCACGTGGTTCATTGTTATCAACTTAAGCTTTCTAGAACAATTTTGCGAATCTTACCTACTCGAAACGATCTAGAAGAAAGACCACATTTTTCAATTTTATATGTAAATATTTGAGTGTATTGGTAGCCCACGCTGCTCACAATTCACCTTCACCACGGCAACCACCACTACAAATTCGAAGACGAAGAAGAAGAAAAAGAGAAAGAAGATGGCCGACATCACAACACGGCTACACGAGGTCTACAACATCAACACGCTACGAAGAAACGACGACGAGCTTTCGCAACCGAAGTTTCAACAAACGACTTGCCTGGAAACAGTGGGATATTCCGAGGTTTAAAAAACCCTAAAAGCTGGACCCTTGAGGAGACAACTTAGTTGTTTCTATCTGTTTTTGTTCACTACAACTTAATAGTTCCGGTTTTCTTAAGTTGATATTAGTGACGTGGTTGATACCATGATGAACGTCAACATTGTTGTACGTATCAATTTCTTGAAGGGCCTCTACGATCATCTCACCCATGAGCTTCATTGCGCGTTGGTCAGGTTTGCCATGTTGTTATCATCACCCAACAAAATATCCGGTTTCGAATAGGATCCGTACAACCATATCAAATCTAGAGCTCAGGAAAAACCCAGGTGGGGGGAGGCGCCTTTTCACCATTATAAACCAAAAAGTATCATCCGCAAGTGAAAATCCGGACAAAATTCCTAAAACCACACCTGACCGAGCAATTGGCCGAAACCACGCATACCGATATAAGTTCGCCCTACGTTGTCGCGATCAATTTCAAAGCCTCTCACCCTCGTCGTGCAGCACCCTCGTCGTGCAGCAGAATCCCCTTCCGACCCTTGGCGGGCAGCAGAATCCCCTTCCGACCCTTGGCGGGCAGCAGTGGGGGTAAATGCACACGTCCCAAAGAGCAACGACTCCCCTTCCGACCCTTGGCGGGCAGCAGAATCCCCTTCCGACCCTTGGCGGGCAGCAGTGGGGGTAACTGCACACGTCCCAAAGAGCAACGAATCCCCTTCCGACCCTTGGCGGGCAGCAGAATCCCCCCCCCCTCCAAACAGAATCCCCTTCCGACCCTTGGCGGGCAGCTAAATCCCCTTCCGACCCTTGGCGGGCAGCAGTGGGGGTAACTGCACACGTCCCAAAGAGCAACGAATCCCCTTCCGACCCTTGGCGGGCAGCAGTGGGGGTAAATGCACACGTCCCAAAGAGCAACGAATCCCCTTCCGACCCTTGGCGGGCAGCAGTGGGGGTAAATGCACACGTCCCAAAGAGCAACGAATCCCCTTCCGACCCTTGGCGGGCAGCAGTGGGGGTAACTGCACACGTCCCAAAGAGCAACGAATCCCCTTCCGACCCTTGGCGGGCAGCAGTGGGGGTAAATGCACACGTCCCAAAGAGCAACGAATCCCTTCCGACCCTTGACGGGAAGCAGACAAGTAAATAAATGCACACAGGGCGCTTGCTGTGCCTCAGTCAATACTACGAAACCCCCGTCTCCACGGATACCAACAAAAGGTGTCCGCGCGATCAACACAATAACCCTAAACCGACGCCTACACCGACCGATAGTCCAATCCCTGCTCATCGTACCGAGCGCGACAGATGGTGTCTTGCAGTACATCATGGGCGTGGTTCAGGATTTTACTGATGCTTACATCACCACCCTTATCCGGATGATGCACCAACATCAGGCGACGATAAGCCCTCTGGATTTCCGACGAGTCGCAGTCGACGAGCACCCCCAGAAGGCGGTAGTAGTCTGCATCGAGGGTGAGGGTACGTTCGATAATTTGCATAAGTAAAAACAAGGATTGCAAAACGGTTGGGTAGACTGAAAAGATGAACAAACATGAACACACACATTTGCTTGTGCTCGCGTTCTTACCATAACGCGTCCGCTTGGCCTCGTCCATGGTCGTCTCTCGAAGGGGTTTTGCATCAAGCACGGGAGCAGCAGAAGCAGCTTTGATGGCGGCAGAAGCGGAAAGATCACGAGCTGTGCGAGCCAATTCAGCGGCACGAACGGCGCGCCGTTTTTTCTGATGGACGTATCTGGCTCTTGCGGCGCGGCGAACGGAAGTAGCGACACGAACAGCATGATCGGCACGATGTTCGGCGCGAGCAGCACGAGTTGACCCAGTGTATCCAACGAAGCCAGCATCTACTGCTTCTGCAGCTCGTTGAGCTCTTTCTGCAGAGATTTTTGCCTGGGCGATAGCATCAGCAGCCCATTGTTCAGCTCTATCGGCAGCAGCAGCATCACGGTCAGCTACCCGAGCAGCAGCGCCAGCGGTAGCACGGGCGACGGAAACAGCAACACGCCGGGCTTGTTCGACAGCAGCAGCACGCTCAGCTTCCTTTGCAACACGCGAGGCTTGTTCGATAGCAGCAGCACGCTCAGCTTCCTTCGCAACACACCGGGCTCTCCTCAAAGCCGCAACACGGCTTGCCTCCTTGGCGACAGAAATACGACGAGCTTTGTCTTCGGCTTCTTTGGCTGCAGCACGCAAAGCGGCTTCTTCGGCCTCCTCGATAGCAGCAACACGCTGGGCTTCTTCGGCAGCAACACGCTGGGCTTCTTCGGCAGCAACACGCTGGGCTTCTTCTGCAGCGGCAACACCCTCAGCTTCCTTGGCAACACACCGGGCTCTCGTTATGACCGCAACACGGCTTGCCTCCTTGGCGACAGAAACACGACGAGCTTCGTCTTCGGCTTCTTTGGCTGCAGCACGCAAAGCGGCTTCTTCGGCCTCCTTGGTAGCAGCAACGCGTCTAGCCTCGTTGGCAGCGGCCACACGCTGAGCTTCTTGGCGTTGAGCCGCTTCAGCACGCAAAGCTTTTCCCGCTTCTTCGGCAGAAACTTGTTCGGTAGTAGCAGCCTCCGCGATAGCGTCTGTCGATGAAGGATGTGCATGCTGAAGGTTAGGTCTCGAAAAACTATGTTGCACTCATGGCTAATTTGCCTACCAGAGCCTTATTTTTCAACCTCGAAAAAAGATGGTGTCACACTTCTGGCTAGTTCGCCTACCAGAGCAGAGCCTCATTATTCAGTCCTACACACCTGAGTCAACAAGCGGAACGCTGCCCGCACCGTGTCCGAGAACACATGATCCATCAGGACTCGCACCGGAAGACCTTTCCCTTTCTGCCTGACGCTTCCTCTCTGCCTGACGCTGTTTCCTCTGGAACTGCGTTGGTTTAGTCAGTTTGGTCCGCTTTCGCTGTCTCCCCATATTGATGGTCTGACGACGGGCAGGGTCGGTGTGAGTGGCGCGCTCGACATCGGACGTCTTGACAAGCGGCGTCGCTAGTGATGCTTTCATGTATGACACACGATTCAATTTTGTGGCCACTTTGAGCGAATCAATGTATACCTATTCAGAGCAGCAAAGCGTTTGCGTACTTACAAGATATTTATTTATTTTGTGTTTCTTCATTCAGACAAGATGCCTGCCAGCAAAAAGAAAACGAAAAGTGGCAAGACCAAGGCCACGAAGAGAGCGGAGAAAGGTCTCTCCCCATTTTCCGCGCCCAAATCTCTCTGCTTTCCGCCAGCAAGGCCCAGGGGATGCGCTGACCCTCTGTTTGTGCACAGCAAATCTCTCGGTGGATTTTTAATATACGGGTGTCATTGCCCCCTCACCAGCACCACCTGTTGCTGCGACAGGCTACCCCCCAACACCAAAAGCCCGCTGATACGAACTACCGGCTACACAAGTATCGAGGGCAGGTGCCCGCACAACGCTCGAAAATGCCAAATTCTACAGGCGAACGCTAGGTCTCGAACTGATAGCGAAGGTCGGTGTCCTCACTAATATCAACTTAAGAAAACCGGAGTGTGATTCGCGAGTTGAGAAAACGGAGATTCACTGCCGCCACTTCGGTGACCATGCACGCTTTCAGCCACGGGTGGCTCACCGACATAACATGCTCGCGGGTTGACATGATGGTAACGGATTTTTTTGTGTCTTATTTCCATCTTAGAAGCATCCCCCAAAAATAATCGTTGCCTTAAATCTTCTTTCTTCCTTGCCTGCGAGATCGGGCTCAAGTTTTTTCTCCAAAAAAAGGAATATTTTGTCTTGTTTATCGCTTGGACACCCTGTAAAAGTGCACATCAAAGGAATCAACAAGATCGAATCGGGCTAAACTAGCCTGACAACGCCAAAAAACCGACTATTTCGGTCCAAATTTTCGGCTTTCACGTGGTGACGAAGGGAAATCTGTCGAAAAGTAGGGTCGTGCCAAATATGACCAGACATTACTTCCAAATACCACACAAATGTACCTCGAAAAACTTCACCAGCTACTAAAAAGCCGGAATCTTCACCCGGGTGTCTTCTTGAATACACCGCTGCGGCCACATGGCCTGGTATTGACATTCGCCATGCCACCCTTCTTGTCCCTTGCACAGAGCACACCATTTATTCCAAACGGGGCCGTTGCATGCTTTGTCCACATCTTGTTTGTTCGACTTCGCCGAGCGCGAAACGAGGGGTACAGGCTCGCTTCAAATCACTGCCTGCCCCGTTTGCACAGGTTCCGTTGACCAAAAACGGATAAGGACTGCAACCCTTTTTTTATTTGTTATACTTAATGAATCATGAAAGTACTGTACTGGCGCGTTACAAAACCCCCGTTCGCCAAGATCAAGAACAAATTCCTCTTAGTTCTTGTGTTTTTGGCCGGTACCACACTGAGCTTTTTCGTGGCAGAAACTGTCTACAAGAATGATCAAATTGTCGAGAAGTCGAAGTATCGTGAAAAAAGCGACAGTGCTGCGAACGAGCTGTTGCAAAGTTTCACAAAAGCTCTTTCGCCGACCGTCATGTCGACGTGCCTGTCCGTGCAGTACGCCCTGGACAAAAACCTCTACGGTATGTTTACTGCCGCCGCTTCTTTGATAAACTTGAAATCATAAAAAATTCCCCACATGACATATTCGACGGAACAGCCGCTCTTCGCCTCTGGGAAGCAAAATATACCGCGGGGTCATCAAACCCTGGTGAATACACGGTGCACCAAGAAGAAATGCTGAGTCTTCCTAGTTCGCACGTTATGTCTCTCTTCGAGTGGATGAGATTTAGGGCCGTCAACGACCGTGTATGTATCATTCACCCGTCGCTAACGATGCCCCTGATTGGGCCACAAACTCAATACAGGCTTGCAGGGTGCAGTGATCACTCCTTCGTAGCGGCTGCAAATAAAATTGATTCTGAACGCGCCGACGGCTGGACAATTGGGGCGTGTTCGGCATGGGAAGAGTTGTACTCGGCACACTTACAGGCGGAGTTCAGGATACCAAACCCGAATCCCGTGGAAATCGTGTCAAATCTTAGAAAAAGGAATATGCTGACACGTGAAAACTCTGCCAAAGAAACTATGGGAAAGTTCATGTTCGTCTCGATGCCTCGTGACGCGGGTTTTGGATGTGGATACAACCTTGACGTCCTTCAAAACCTAGTTCCATTGCTACCATCCTCCGAAAACATCAGAGATGTACCTGCATACAACAAAAACGTCGTGACACGTTATAAAGAAATTGTTTCCGGCATGGATGAAGCACCTCAAGTCGTGCGAAAACGCGTTACAACATTCCTGAATGCACTCGCTCGTGCGCTTACATCACCGGTACACATGAAAAACATTCAGAGTGTGAACTTCAATTTTTACGCGAATGCCGTGTGTGCACAAGACGATCAGACTTTCATATCTCTATTGAAGCTATTGTTGGTCTCAGCGGCGTGCAAACAACACTCTTGCGCCGGGTAAGCTATCCTTGGCCGCGGCACAATACACCTATTACGGAGGACTGCAGTTATCAGGACCAAGAACTGGCCGTTCAAGCTATGCAGCGCGTTTGTTCAACACCAAACAAAATGTTACAAGAGCATATATACATACAACATGGACCTCATCGAAAGCATGGACGGCGCCACTATTCGCGCGGACAAACAGACAAAAAAGGGGAGCGTCATGGACACAATCCGAATGGTCCTTCGATGCGACTCGAGCAACGCAAACACTGCCTTCGGACGGCTTCTTCAAGCCCACCCCGAACTGGGTTCTCGCTGCACCCGGTCAAAGCTGAATGGCAAAGGCAACGAGACGCCGGTCGCCGACGCCAAAACCCTAATCGAAATTGTGTGGCTACTCCCCGGCAAGAAAGCACACTCATTCCGTCGCCAGTCGTCCGAGAAGGTGTGCCGCCTACTCGGTGGCGATCTGAGCCTCGTGTCCGAGATCGAGGCCCGCCACGCCACCCTGCAGAGCACCGAACAAGGGCGCGAGACGCAAGAATTCCTCCTACATGGACGAGAGGAGGCCGTTGAAACCTTCGATGGAATGCCAGCCGGCTTCAAGTACCTCTCTGAGACCGACCGCGCGCAGGTCGCCAAGCGAATGATTGATCAGCAGCTCAAGGCTGGCGACCAGGCCCTCAAGCGGAAGAGGGTCGACGACCTCGTGCACAGCTACCGAGCCATACAAGACATCGGCGTTCGTCTCGACGGGCGCACCCTGATCGAGTTGCGCGACAGCGTAACAATCCTCAGCCGCCAGAATACGGTTGAAGATGATGCGGTGGCCGTCGCCACCCCGCTCCTGCAGGACTCCAACACCTCAACACATGAGCTTGCCTCGGCGCAGAGGGGTAAGGAGACAGGCATCGTGGTCGTGTCCTCCAAAATTGGCATAAGGGTTCCACAAAACTTGTGCGGGAAGGTTGGAAAGTTGATGCGACAACTGTACATCAAAAAGTACGCCCTTCCCGGCAACTGGAATGCTTTTGTCAAGAGGCAAACGCTCATCAACGGAAGACCCGTGATGGAAAATTGCTTTTTTTCAAGGGATGAAGACATCATCGAGCAAGCCATTCGAGAAGTCATGCATGAATAGTGTGTGAGGGAGCAGTGTGAACATGGTCTCGCGGGCACCCTTTGAGGGCTTGTACAAGCAAGAACCAGGTCGACGGCGTCAACAGGAGACCTTTTTGTGATCAAAGCAGAACTCCCACTTGTTGCCTCCATCCACACCATAGCGCGACTGCTTGAAGCAACCGCTGCGGCCACCACAATTCTTGGCATTGACATTCACCATGCCGCTTTTCTTTGCACAAGCAGTCGCGCTTTGGTGTGGATGGAAGCAACAAGTGGGAGTTCAGTGGTGAGCATAGGAAGAGCGGCATGGTCAATCTCGCGGTCAGGTGGTGCGGTCACAGCGGTTGCTCCAAGCAGTCGCGCTATGGTGTGGATCAGCATTGCTTTGGAGTGGACATTCACCATACCGCTCTGTGTCACAAATAAAATATACGCCATGCCAGTAGATACCAGTAGCGTAAAAGACATGGCAGCGTCTCCGAGTCAAACCGGGAGTGATTTCGATTTTGAACTTGGTGAAGTTAATCTGGCCTCCGTAAAAAAGAAGTTACGAGAATTGACCGGCGTGTACATAGCAAAAGGGAAGAGTGGTTTCTACTTGCTTGCTCTGGCCATCACGAACACTCGTGACGACTCGGTAATTTTTTCGTTTAAAAACATCGCCACCCCGTTCAGACTGGCTCCCGACGACATGGCGAAAATCACGACTACGCGATGTTTTGATGTGACCGTAACGGCGTGGAAAAACAGGGACCCGACCGCGGAGTTAGACACAGTACAACACAACTCACTCTGCGGTCTCGGGAAACCGTTACCCCGAGGCGAAACAGGGACGATAGACCTTGTGATTACCGGGCTCCAACTCATAAATGAACTTTTTGGAGTGGAAGAGTTTCCATTTATAGATGCTTCGGAAATAGAGGGAGTTTCTCTCAGGAACTATAGCCTGCTTACTACAGGGAAAACATGGTATGCAAGACACTTCCCTCGTGTTACAGCGGAGCACAACGGCGACGTCGACAAACTGGCCGATTGTTATACAACCACGATGCGATATGTCACTCGACCGGAGATAAACGCCATTTTGGATCGAGTCAGCCACGAAACCAGAGCTCTCATTGGTGACAAACTGAATAGCGCATCGGATTCAAGCACGTGGCGCGAAGCGTTCGGGCGATTGCCCTTGAAAGCTTTCACGGATGATATGGTCAACGCCGTTACTCATGTTTTAAAAATCAACACGGATGTTTTCTATTTCCAGATGAACGTTGCCTATTTCCCAGGACAAAAATACAGCCATCTCGAGAAGTACCGACATGTGTACCATTGAACCCTAACCCTAACCAAAAGAAATATTATGCCCGATTTCAACGTTAGGTACTGAGCCTGGAAGACAACTATAGCATCCAAAACACTATTACAGAGACGCATTGTTAATAAGACCAAAGTAAAGGATGGCTTGAGATGCCGCAGTTCAGCATCGCAGTTGGAGCAAGTCCGTTATGGCTCAGTGGTTTCACGATTGGACGTTCGGGCCGAAAGGTCAGACGTTCGATACTCGCTGTTTGTGGATTCAGACGCGAATAAAAAGTGCTCCCGGAGTTTTCGACTCTGACCACTGCAACACATTCATTTCTATTATAAAAAGAACCCGACTGGTGTCGGGCGTGTGCAACAGTTACCACTGATAATTGCGGGCGTCCAGATTCCATGTACTCTCTTGGTACAAAAACAATTGCCCTCGGGCAATGGCTTAGCTGCATAGCTTGAAAGGCCAGGCTTTCCATTCAAAAAGGGAAGTCTATTACACTTGCGGGGACTTGGTGAAAGGACCGAGGTCTTATTAACCATGTTCCTCCGTAATACAAAACTATTTTCTTTGCGAGGCAGCGGCTACGGCGCTGGCGGCACCGCGCCCTGCGTCGACAGTGGTGTGTGATCAACGCCAGCAAGGGCAGCGGCGGCAGGAACAAGAACCACCCGGCTACATGTCCTCAGTAAATTCTCACAGGAAAGCCACAACCTCACGGAACACTGCATCCTCATTCAGCGATAACACAAATTTGAGTGGGCAGACTCCACCCCCACCCCCTCTTTTTTTCGGCTCGGGGATGTCCACAGGTTCCCCCGCCGCCAGCGTGTGCGCACGAAGCATGACGAGCCATCCCCGGCGACGCCATGCTCTGTCCTTGGGAGCGTTCACCAGGAGGTGGCGGACGCGCTCAGCCACAGCTGGATCGAGATTCCGGATGCGGCCGAGGTAATCGGCGGGAGTTTTGCCCCTCTCATCCTTCATGGTCTCGTCCGCCCCCCAGCGGAGAAGAAGATCCACGACAGAAGGTACGCAGCTCCCACGGTTCATTATGTGGTGGAGAGGCGTTTGTCCGCCATACGAACAAAAGTTGACCGGTGCTCCACGTTGCAGGAGCATGAGACGAGCGTCGTACATGTTCTCGAGCGTGCTTGTTTTGCACACGCCGACGGAGAGCAAATATCCCAGCTCTTCTTCGTCTGGCTCTGCGCCGCTGTCGAGAATGGCCTCCATCACCGCCTTAGTCTTCGTAGCGCTATAATCGTACTCGCGCTCGGCACCAGCGTTTAACAGAGCCTTTATGATGCGAACATGACCAAAGCGCATGGCCGATGACAGCGGCGTTTCGCCATCCATCCTGACTTCATTCGGGTCCGCTTCGTTCTCGAGTAGTAGAGTCACGATTGCATCATGTCCACCGCCCGCAGCACAGATGAGTGGCTGGTCAAAATCGAATTGGCTGGTTTTGACGTCACAACCATTGTCTAGAAGAGTCTTCACCACGGCAAAGTGACCTCTGCGGCACGCCAGTATGATGGTGAATTCGAGGAAACAGTCTCCGTCAATGTCGCTCAAAAGGGCAGTCATGATATCATTGTCTCCTCGCAGTGCAGCAAAGTCAATGGGGCGCAATGACATGTCTCCGAGGTCTCTCATACTACATCCAACATCAAGTGTTGCATCGGCGCCTTTGGAGAGCAGTGTTTGCACAACGGGAAAGTGACCATTCTCGATTGCTTCCACCAGCGGGGTTTTCAGATTGGCCCCAACTGTCCATGTCGAGGACAATCCTCTGCCGGCATCCTCTTCCGCCCCCGCCTCCAACAGGATGTTCACCACCGTGTTGTGCCCCTTGCCGGCAGCAAGATGTATGGCATGGCGACCGTCGTTGGGGCTACGGAAGTTGACATCGGCACCAGCAGCCACCAGTTCCTCCACGACAAGCACGTGGCCTTCGCGGGATGCAAGCTGTAGAGGGGTTCTCCCTGCATCCTGAACGCTATTCAAAGCAAGCCTTCCGTCAGCCGACTTCACCAGCGTTCGCACCTTCCACACGTCCCCGTATTCAGAAGCACTGTGTAGGTTACACCCGGATAAATCCGACATCTTGGTGGTGTGCTGGACGCTGTTGTAGTTTATGATTGTGACACGGAAGCGCGACGGAAAGAATTACAGAGATTCGTGTTCAGCATAAACGAGAGCTACTTGTCTCGGTTATGGATTCCCCCGTAATCTGCGTTTTTTATGTTGACCCGTGTGTGTCGATTTGAATAACCTTAACACAGACCCGCCTGCGTACAGCACGCTGAACGTCCCGGACTGCAAGACAAAACAGAAAAGTGATTGTGACCAAACGCCGGGATGTCAACTTTATGGTGACGAGTGTGTACCAAAAGTTCAGGAAACAATCGCCAGCTTGTACGGAGGAAGAGCGGGCGAGGTCCAGAGGACTTTCTCCGCCGTGCCCGGAAGAGACTGTGCTCCGCAGTTTCGGGAGATGTACGAGGACAACCTTGACTCGATCGACGCGCGAGCAAACCGAGACAAAACGATGGCGGCGAAGCTCGCACGCAATGTGTCTGGAGGAGACACGGAGTCATTACCGTCAACTTAAGAAAATGGTAGGTAGAAAATTCGTTAACTGTGTCTTAACACATGTAACTCTCCGCGAGGGAGTTTGCTTCGTTCTCGTCCGTCTGACTTTCTCAGCGAGACACACGAGAACATTCACAACTATCATCGAGAAGGCTGTGTTTTTGTCTCAAGCCATTGACTGAGGTGACGCTCAGAGAGCAGGTTTTTTTTCACAATGATAAACACATACCGGGATTCGAACCCGTGACCTTTGACACAAGAGTCCAGGTGTGTACAGCTTGTTTCATGCTTTAAAAATCAGGATCTTCGCTGGTGGTCTGCAGTGCATCCGACCAAACGGCACTTTCGCCTTCAGATCTGCTACGCCTGGACATTTGTATCTCGAGGGACCGGAGACTCTTTTCACGTTACGGAGGATGTATGTGACATGCGTGTCAAGGGTATAGAGATATGACGATTCTTTCGTACTGCCTTGCATTCTCAGAGTGATCGTGTCTAACAACACCCTGGCCTCCACCTCCTGGATGTAAAGATCCGGTGTTCTTGCGTGAGCTTTTTCGAGCCTGAGGTTTGATTTCAATCGTTTAAACGACTCTTCTACCCGCCACCTCGAAGCGTACATAGTCTTGATATCCCTTCGAGATAGCGACGGGTCGTTCGTGAGGCAAACGTACGTTTTACCGTCGATAAAATATTTCAAAAGACGCGCCTCGATACCGAGAATCAAGCACGCGGCCTCCGTGCGACACGAGTTAAAGAAAGACCTGGTGCCTTTGAAAGCGTCTATCTTGAGCCGCCAAACGCCAAATGCATGAGAGTCATGAACGCTCCTCAGCAAGTTCTTGGAGTAGTAGCCTCTGTCAAACACCAGAGTATCCCCTTTGCGTACACCTCGGAGCATCTCAGTGGCTGCCTTTCTTTCGTTGAAGTGTTTCGTGAGCTCAAAGTCCACACACGCTTTTGTTTTTACGTCCACCATCGAAGAAAGCATGACAAGAGGTCTTTTCGCGGGACGCGGGACCGGTTTATTGTTCGTCCGGGTCATATATCCAGCCCCGATGAACGAAGGGTGCACGTGCACTTTCGAACCATCTACAGCGAATACACGTGGTTCGTGTGGTCCTCGTTGCAAGAACCGGTTTACTTCCTTGAAAGCTCCTGGTGGAAGCTTCTTTCTGGCCGAATGTATCGCCTGAGACGAGTACTGTTCGTTTTCCATCCTCAGTATGTGAGCGACACCTCTCTCTTGAATACAACACTTAGTGAGCGTATAGAAAAGGGAAGATGTATCTAGCTTTCGTCGTCTCTGCATCCACTGTCCGTCGCACTTTTTAAAAGCATCGTATATTTCAGGAGACATCGGTTTAGTCATTTTTTTGGTTTATAATGAAAAACATTTTAAGTTTCCAACATGCTTAAGTTGACGACACTGCAACAGATGGGTTGCCTTCTGTGTATATAGGCACTGCTGTGCCTGCTGTATTTCGTCAAGAATATGAAGATTGCCTGCCGAGGGCGTGGCCCCCAAAGCTTTTAGATACTGCTGTACACAGACACAAAATACTTCAAGACACGCGCCCTGACACCAAGAATAAGGCATGTTGCTTCCGTGCGACACGAGTTGAAGAAAGGCCTAGTGCCTTTGAACGCATTTATCTTGAGTCGCCAAACCCCGAACGCATGCGAGTCATGAACGCTTCTCAGCAAGTTCTTGGAGTTGTAGCCTCTGTCAAACACCAGAGTATTACACACACAACCACGCGACACCCTTCGGTCAGAACGCTACAGCAGCAGCAATCGAACGTAGGGCGGCATTTCGCTCAGCTCAGAAAAGCGAACCAAACAACACCCTTCGGTCAGAACTCTACAGCAGCAGCAATCGAACGTAGGGCGGCATTTCGCTCAGCTCAGAAAAGCGAACCAAACAACACCCTTCGGTCAGAACTCTACAGCAGCAGCAATCGAACGTAGGGCGGCATTTCGCTGCATTTCGCTCAGCTCAGAAAAGCAAACCAAACAACACCCTTCGGTCAGAACGCTACAGCAGCAGCAATCGAACGTAGGGCGGCATTTCGCTCAGCTCAGAAAAGCGAACCAAACAACACCCTTCGGTCAGAACTCTACAGCAGCAGCAATCGAACGTAGGGCGGCATTTCGCTCAGCTCAGAAAAGCGAATCAAACAACACCCTTCGGTCAGAACTCTACAGCAGCAGCAATCGAACGTAGGGCGGCATTTCGCTCAGCTCAGAAAAGCGAATCAAACAACACCCTTCGGTCAGAACTCTACAGCAGCAGCAATCGAACGTAGGGCGGCATTTCGCTCAGCTCAGAAAAGCGAACCAAACAACACCCTCCGGTCAGAACGCTACAGCAGCAGCAATCGAACGTAGGGCGGCATTTCGCTCAGCTCAGAAAAGCGAACCAAACAACACTCTTCGGTCAGAACGCTACAGCAGCAGCAATCGAACGTAGGGCGGCATTTCGCTCAGCTCAGAAAAGCGAACCAAACAACACCCTTCGGTCAGAACTCTACAGCAGCAGCAATCGAACGTAGGGCGGCATTTCGCTCAGCTCAGAAAAGCGAACCAAACAACACTCTTCGGTCAGAACGCTACAGCAGCAGCAATCGAACGTAGGGCGGCATTTCGCTCAGCTCGTAAAGGCGAAGCAAACAACATACTTTTGATACTGGCACGCGTTTGAAATTCATCCACGCTACCTGCCACATCGCTCTCACCTAGCACACACACTAAACACGTTTCCCACAATGTCGCTTCCACACAACACACGCCCTGCGCACGTCGTTCCGTTGTGTGGCTCTTGATTGAGTCACGCCTTGCGGGCGGAAAGGTTGGGCCATATAATTCGATTTCATTTCTGATTTCTTGTGCACATGCGCATGAGTGAGGGGCACAATTGTGAAAATTTTCAAGGCCGAACACTGCAGCTTGCTTCGAGCTTTAAAAATCAGGATCCTGCCGGATCAACGTAAAATTAGAGTATGTTGTTCCGCTAGGTCAGGCACACTGCTGTATAATTTTTTCATGGTCAACGGATATTTTGGGGCTGAGATACGGGCCTAGACGTGGAACGCGCGGCAGGGGGGTCTCTAATTTCAAGTAACTTACTTCAGGCGGGCCGGGAGACCACCCCCGTACCCACCATTTTGTTTTATTTGACCAGTGGGTACGTGCAAAACTCACATAATTTGTTTTTTTGGCAAGGGAGGGGTGTGGGGTGTAGTTTTACACCCCGTGTTATTTAACGTACAATACGCCACGTGCGCACACATGGGGGAGAAAACGGCACACACGATAGCCGCGTCTAAAATAAAACTTTTCGCACAGGGAAGCACCAGCACACACACAGGAACGATTTGCCGGCGTTCACGCAGCGCGCGGGCGAGTTTTGTGACCTATACGAGCGTGACCAAAAGTCTAGAATTCGCGCCACAGGTTCTTGGTGGACAGCACACACATCAGGCGCGCACACGTCTACCTGTGCACACGTTTTCACACACAGACGCCCGCAATAACACCTTCTTTTCGAACAGAGTCCCCCGAGCACCCTGGTAACCGATCCCGGTGCTCCACCGCTCGCTCCTGTTGTCGTGTGAGGCAGGACGAGCGTGTGCTAGCGGAATGCGGTGTTGTGGAAAAGCGTGACGACAGGGAGGGGTTACGTGCATGGAATATTATTACATACATGCTCCAATGCCAAATGCGAGATTCCGCGGAGCATCCTTTGCGTCAAGGGGTGTTGGGGTGTTGTCCTGCTTGTCTGCTACTGCCACCGTGCTCCCGCAGACTTACCCACCACGACTACCACGACCGCGTTTCTGCGAGATGGATCGAAAGCGGTGGAAAACCGATCCTCATCGTCCCACCGAGGTGTGGCTACGTCGATACTACACAATAGTTTACAGGGCACGCAGCGGTTCCAAGGCTGGTCAAGGAGACAGCATCACTTAGGAAGGCTCTGTTCACCAATCAATCACGGCCAACACACAGCACAACAGTAAACCATGACCACTCTCGTCACCCCCTGTCGTGCCTTGTATACAGGCGAAACGGAACAAATCCGCCAAAAGGTCCTGGGAAAGGCGCCAGGCGAAACAGGCGAAAAAACGGTTACAAGAGGAAGCGGGCGAGGCCGGTGAGTTTTGCGCACAGAGAATTGCCAAAATAGACCACGTGCACACATACACCGTTGCAGTCTTTTCAATCGAAACTCTGTACAACACAAACAAAACTAATATCAGCTACATTGCTGCTGCTACCGCGGATGCTGCTACCGCGGATGCTGCTATCTTGGCCACTAACCCTGCCACTACTCCTGCTACCACAACCACAGCTTCTACTGCTACTGCTGCTGCCGCTGCTGCCACCGCTACCACCACCGCTGCCGCTGCTACAACAGCTTCTACTACTGCTACCTCTCCTGCTACACATGCCGCTACCCCTGCTACAACAGCTTCTACTGCTGCTACAACGGTTGCTCCTACACCCGTAGCTGCCGCTGCTGCTACCGCTACCGCTGCCGCTACCGCTACCGCTGCCGCTGCTGCTGCTGCTGCTGCTGCTGCTGCTGCTACTGCTGCTGCATCTGACCGCCCGATCGGCAAATCCACGGGAGTTGTGCCGACCCCCGCGCAGGACGCCAGGGATGCGGTGCAGAATCTCATGGCTTCACTCGATGCAGCAGCAGCAGAGAATCAAAGCGGCGCCATCGAGGTTGCGTGCCAAGATTTCCGGGAGACGGCGTTCGGCAAAGAGGTCATGCACGATCTCCACGTCGACGGTATCGTGAACATCCCGTACGGGACGTCGGAAGCGGACGCTCTCAGCATGGCGGGCGTTGTGCGTGGTGCGGCGCAAGACTTGGTGCTGGGTGAGAAACCCCATAGGGAGAGGGTAAAGATCAAGGGACAGACGCGGTACGCGCTAGAGGCGATATACATGGGGGGTGGGGCAGTTGCCGCGTTCGAGGAGATCGCCTCTCTGCTGGCCGCGGTCCTGTGTGCTGTCGTGGACGGCGCGTCCGGCGGGGTGGTAACCCACAAGCACGTGGCACTGGCCAACGCGATGGGGACGGGGGTGCAAATGTGGCACCGGGACGGGCGAGCCAAGGAGGTTTTGGCCAAGACGAACCCGTCTCACAAGGACAACAGGAAGAGGCCGGAACCACACCCCTTCTCGGCCGTGATTGCTTTCGAGGAGAACACCGTGCTTCACGTGGTCAGAGGTTCGCACAACAGGGGGAAGGAAAACGACTTCAGCCAAGATGCACCCCACGCCCACCACATCACCATCGGATATGCAGCGGTGTTTTACTCCATTCTCGTGCACCGCGGAATGGGTACCGACGGCGATTGCCCGAGCGAGAACGTCCGCGGGCACATGTACCTCACGGTAGCGGGCTGTACGTTGCCGTCGTTCGGAAAGATTGAAGCCAACATCAAGGGGCCCGAGGCCGATGCTACCGCTCCTGCTGCATCCACCCCCGTCGCCGCAACCACTTCGCCTTCGGATGACACCGCTGCTGCTGCTGCTGCTGCTGCTGCTGCTGCTGCCGGTACTTCTGGTGCCGGTGTTGCCGGTGCTGCTGGTGCTGGTGCTGCCGGTGCTGCCGGTGCTGCTGGTGCCGGTGCTGCTGGTGCCGGTGCTGCCGGTACTTCTGGTGCTGGTGCTGCCGGTGCTGCTGGTGCTGGTGCTGCTGGTGCTGCTGATGCTACTGGTGCTTCTGTTGCCGGTGTTGCCGGTACTTTTGGTGCCGGTGCTGCTGCTGCTGCTCCTGATGCTCCTGCTGCTTCTGCTGCTCCTGCCGCTTCTGCTGCTGGTGCTGCATCTGCTGCTGGTGCTGCATCCACTGCTCCTGCTGCTGCTGCATCCACTGCTCCTGCTGGTGCTGGTGTTGCCGGTGCTCCTGCTGCTGCTGCTGCTGCTGCTGCATCCGCTCCTCCTGCTGCTGCTGCTGCTGCTGCTGCACACGAGTACACCGACGCCTGGACAGGGATAGTCGATGATGTCGGGACGGGAACGAAGGGAGGGTTCGATGGCACATCGGGTGCCATGTTGGTTGCGGGGACGGATGTTGATGCTACTACCGCTGCTACTACCGCTGCTACTACTACTGCTGCTGCTACACCTGCTTCTACTGCTACCACTACCACTACCACTGCTGCTGCAACGACGGTGACGCATGGTACGAGAAAGGACTTGGCGGCTCGATTCGAGTCGTTCATATTCCATCTTGACAAGGGGACACGCAGAGTACTGATGTGTTTACTGGAGACAAACAGCGTTTTGGACGGCATTGAGTCGTTCGGAGAAGACGGCAAGGACGAGGGCTTGGGTAACGGACTGTTTTCCTGTCTCCTTCGCAAAGACACTGCCCCCAAGGAGGATACATCTAGACGACCCTGTCCTTTCTGGAGCAACGGTTCCAGGAAAGAACTCTCAGAGAATGTCGCTATCGCATGCACGAAAGCACAGATCCCCCTCGTACTGGAGGGCGACGCACCTGCACAATCACCAATGGGTGAGATGATGCAGTACGCCGCTGGTAAAGGCGTGGCCCGCATTGGCTACATAGGCAAAACGTCTGGACGGGGGCCTCTCAAACTGGCTCCGGGCTTGACGGATGCCTGGCGCACTGGTGCTGTGACGGATAAGCAACTGCGGGACACGCTCAACGGAGGAACGTTCACCATCGACAATACAGAGGTGCGGTATAATATTATTTATTTATTATATTTAGTATTGGCGAAGATGTTGTCGTCTTCACATCCTTGCACAATATCCGGACTGGTCATACTGACGCCGACGCCTTCCGTGGTCTCCTGTTGTGCGACAGGAAAATAAGCGCACGGACAAGACGTGCTACGCCACTCTGGAAAACGACACCGTGACTGCGATGATTCGAGAAGGGACTCGGATGGGAGAGCTTTGTTTTCCACGCAGGGGAAACCACCTCCAATATGGGACATTGACCGGAAAGGAAGCTGACGGCGTTGCGTGGTCGGGCAGCGAGTGCATGCTATTTGCCAAAGACGGCGGAATGACAAACCCACACGTGGACGTGCAATCTGTCCCGGGAGGAACAGGGAGAATAATCCACATGCCCGCAGCGGGAGTCATTCGCAGAGTCAACTATGTTGAAGAAAATAGGCCGGCAAAACAGGCCATCGTGGTGCATGCGGACGATATGTCGAGGGTGATTGAAACTCTGAAAATCAATACCAAGAAGGAGTCCGCCAGTCAGTACGGCGGTCCGCCGCGAACGCTTCCGGAGTTCGCGAGGGTGTTGAAATCCAAGGGAATTCGGTTTGTTGTGATGAACTTTCCTTCGCGCTGCTCGTACGCCCTTCCAGCGAGGTGTGCGCACGTGTTTGTCACGATAGGGTTGGTTGAGAGCTCGGCTTGGCACCCTGTTTACAAGCAGGATATGTGATATCCAGGATTTTTTTTCGGCACCATGCACTTGATTGTGGTCGGGTAGCGAGTGCATGCTTTTCGCCAAAGACGGGGGGGGGATGACCAACCCGCACGTAGACATGCAGTGGTGGAGAGCGCGGCATGGCACCCCGTGTTTAAGCAGGACATGCCGTACCCGAAGTTGATTGCGTAACACTTGAAGTATTTTAAGGGCGTTTTTTCTCGTCACTGAGGTCACACCATTCCTGCCGGTTTTACTCCAACCCGTGGTCTCACAAGAGAGCTCCTAACGATACTTTTGCCTACGAGAGCTAGGCCCTCTTTCATGCGTGCACACGAACTGGCGCTACGGGGGCTCCTGCACTCCAACGATGCTTGGTGGTACAAGGACGTCCTCCGACCTTTTTCAAAAGAGGCAAATATCAAGTGTCTCGTGAATAAGGAGAACGCCAGGTACGCGTCAAGCGAGCATGGCTACCTCTCGAGTCTGCAGGGAAGTGGTCCGGACAAGTGCCCCTGGATGATTGGCGAGAGTTTCTTGACGGACGGTGTACAGATCAAGCTTTTACTTGTGACACTTGAACATGGAAGGAAAGCTTTTTCCGGTTCCAGCGAGCTGAACGAAGCGGGGTACAACAAACTGCCCCGGGCTGACGCTCAGCTAGAAAGCCTTTTGAAAGAGGGAAGAGGGGTGTACAACATATCCAGCCTTTTGGAGTCGACAAGCATCAGGGAAGACGTCATCGTCATGTCCGCTGACCCGGGCCAGGCCAAGGTGATCAACGTTTCTTCGGCTACGGCTAGCACTTGGGCAAAGCAAGACCCTGGCGTCATCCTCAAAACTTCGACGTGTGTTTTCGGGGACGATTATCGTCGTGACACTCTTGCATCACGTTCAGACGAGTACGAGACGTTCAGGCGCAAGGACCAGCCGTACGGAGTAGCCATCGATCGTCTTGGTAACGAGAAGAAAAGAACTTCATGCCTCGCAACGTTCATCAAGTACTGCAGACGGTGGTGTGCAAATGGTCCGGTGTTATTCCTAGAGACTTTGCAGACAGGAAGGAAGTTCATGAGGTTTGACCGTTTCAGAGCTACGCAGAAGACACTCGCCAAGATTGCGGACAAGTACATGGGACACGTCGAAGACACTTGCAGGGTCATGTTGTTCGGAAAAGCGTCTTTTCGTGCGCAGAAAGGAAGGGCATCTGCACCAAGGAAAGCTTTGATCAGAGAGATGGCCAGTAGAGGCGTGGTGTTGATGGTGAAGGAGTACAACACTTCCAAGAAATGCCCAGGGTGTGGAGAGGACACGGTCGAGGACAAAGAACGGAGAATCCGGAGTTGCAAAAACTTTAAGATCGGATCACCGGAAGAGTCCTGTAGACTTCACCGCCTGACACCAGAGTTTGAAATGGATCGCGACGACGTAGGGTCGACTAATATCGGTATGCGTGGTTTCGGCCAATTGCTCGGTCAGGAGTGGTTTTAGGGATTTTTTCCGGATTTTCACTTGCGGATAATACTTTATAGTTGGTTTTCCTAAAGTTGACAATGGTGATCTTGACAAGGAGACACGTAAAGTACTGATGCGTTTACTGGAGATAAACAGCATGTTGGACGGCACTGAGTCGTTCGGAGAAGATGGCAAGGACGAGGGCTTGGGCAACGGACTGTTTTCCTATTTCCTTCGCACAGACGTTGCCCCCAAGGAGGATGCATCTAGACGACCCTGTTCTTACTGGAGCAATAGTCCCGAGAGGAAAGAATTCTCGGAGAAGGTCGCTATCGCATGTGCGAAGGCGCAGATCCCGCTCGTACTGGAGGGCGACGCACCCGTACGATCACCAATCACTAATATCAACTTAAGAAAACCGGAACTATTAAGTTGTAGTGAACAAAAACAGATAGAAACAACTAAGTTGTCTCCTCAAGGGTCCAGCTTTTAGGGTTTTTTAAACCTCGGAATATCCCACTGTTTCCAGGCAAGTCGTTTGTTGAAACTTCGGTTGCGAAAGCTTGTCGTCGTTTCTTCGTAGCGTGTTGATGTTGTAGACCTCGTGTAGCCGTGTTGTGATGTCGGCCTTCTTCTTTCTCTTTTTTTTCTTCTTCGTCTTCGAATTTGTAGTGGTGGTTGCCATGGTGAAGGTGAATTGTGAGCAGCGTGGGCTACCAATACACTCAAATGTTTACGTATAAAATTGAAAAATGTGGTCTTTCTTCTAGATCGTTTCGAGTTGGTAAGATTCGCCAAATTGTTCTAGAAAGCTTAAGTTGATAACAATGTCACCAATGGGCGAGATGATGAAGTACGCCGCTGGTAAAGGTGTGGCCCGCATTGGCCACATCGGCAAAACGTCTGGACGAGGGCCTCTCACACTGACACCGGGCTTGACGGATGCCTGGCGCCTTGGTGATGTGACGGGCAAGCAACTGCGAGACACGCTCAACGGAGGAACGTTCACCATCGACAATACAGAGGTGCGTAGATGTTGTCGTCTGCCTACAATTAAAAATTGAAAAGTAGAAAGCACAATATACGAACTGGTCATACTGACGCCCACCCCCTTCCATGATCGCCTGTTGTGCGACAGGAGGATAAGCGCACGGACAAGACGTGCTACGCCACGCTGAGGAACGACACCGTGACTGCGATGATTCGAGAAGGGACTCGGATGGGAGAGCTTTGTTTTCCACGGAGGGGAAACCACCACCAATGTGGGACATTGACCGGAAGTGAGGCTGACGGCGTTGCGTGGTCGGGTAGCGAGTGCATGCTATTTGCCAAAGACGGCGGAATGACAAACCCACATGTGGCATTGTTATCAACTTAAGCTTTCTAGAACAATTTTGCGAATCTTACCTACTCGAAACGATCTAGAAGAAAGACCACATTTTTCAATTTTATATGTAAATATTTGAGTGTATTGGTAGCCCACGCTGCTCACAATTCACCTTCACCATGGCAACCACCACTACAAAATCGAAGACGAAGAAGAAGAAAAAGAGAAAGAAGATGGCCGACATCACAACACGGCTACACGAGGTCTACAACATCAACACGCTACGAAGAAACGACGACGAGCTTTCGCAACCGAAGTTTCAACAAACGACTTGCCTGGAAACAGTGGGATATTCCGAGGTTTAAAAAACCCTAAAAGCTGGACCCTTGAGGAGACAACTTAGTTGTTTCTATCTGTTTTTGTTCACTACAACTTAATAGTTCCGGTTTTCTTAAGTTGATATTAGTGACATGTGGACGTGCAATCTGTCCCGGGAGGAACAGGGAGAATAATCGCTATGCCCGCAGCGGGAGTCATTCGCAGAGTCAACCATGCTGACGCACACGGGCCGGCGAAACAGGCCATCGTGGTGCATGCGGATGATATGTTGAGGGTGATTGAAACTCTGCAAATAAATACCGACAAGGAGTCCACCAGTCAGTACGGAGGTCCGCCGCGAACGCTGCCGGAGTTTGCGAGAGTGTTGAAATCCAATACGGTTTGTTGTGATGAATTTTCCTTCGCGCTGCTCGTACGCCCTTCCCGCGAGGTGTGCGCACGTGTTTGTCACGATAGGGTTGGTTGAGAGCTCGGCTTGGCACCCTGTGTACAAGCAGGCTATGTGATTTCCATTCGGGTCATAACGTTTGACGAGAGATGTATTTTGTGGGGGTGTCCAACCCGCGCGTGGACGTGCGTAGACGCGCGTGTACATGCCCGCAGCGGGCGTCATTCGGAGAGTCGTACAGCGGTAGGCTCACCACGCTCCCCGAGTTTGCACGAGAGCTCAGCGGGGTGGTAGAGAGCGCGGCATTGGCACCCCGTGTTCAATCAGGACATGCCGTACCCAAAGTAACCATTGTTATCAACTTAAGCTTTCTAGAACAATTTGGCGAATCTTACCAACTCGAAACGATCTAGAAGAAAGACCACATTTTTCAATTTTATACGTAAACATTTGAGTGTATTGGTAGCCCACGCTGCTCACAATTCACCTTCACCATGGCAACCACCACTACAAATTCGAAGACGAAGAAGAAAAAAAAGAGAAAGAAGAAGGCCGACATCACAACACGGCTACACGAGGTCTACAACATCAACACGCTACGAAGAAACGACGACAAGCTTTCGCAACCGAAGTTTCAACAAACGACTTGCCTGGAAACAGTGGGATATTCCGAGGTTTAAAAAACCCTAAAAGCTGGACCCTTGAGGAGACAACTTAGTTGTTTCTATCTGTTTTTGTTCACTACAACTTAATAGTTCCGGTTTTCTTAAGTTGATATTAGTGAAAGTAACATTTTGCGGTTAGGCGATCTTTTTTTATCGGCTTTTAAAATGTTGTACTGAATGTAACATCCCTTCGAGTCGTGACGAGAAGCTTCAGCAAAGTCACTCTATCGACTATGAGCACAGGCGGGGTCCTCAACTTTTCCGAGCTGGAGCTGTACGATAACGATGACAATAACATCGCTCTCCTCGGAACCGCCTCCGCGACCTCCATGATATATGGCTCTGCGGGTTTAGGCAACGATGGTATCACAGATCATGTATTCGGAGGCCCTGACAATCCAGTTTTACATACCGAGGGTTCGGCGATATGGACGCTTGACCTGGACAGAAGTTATCTCTTGACGGAACTCCAAAAGGCGGATAGCTTTGTTTTCGATAACAAAAAGTGTGTAGTGCAAAGTGCTTAATCAAGGCCTTCGTGTCGCGCGTCGTATGACGATGGAGCATATTCTCTTGAAAATAATGCCTTCAGTATATCAACAGTAAACAATGCTCACCAAAAACATCTGGTCTCAGATCGGGGTAAACCCCGCGGATGCCCTTTTACCACCAGTGCACAATCTGGGCATGATCATCCTTCGGGAAGAGTTGACGGAAGCCGAAAGCGATTTGCACGCCGCGCGCGTAGCACTGAAAACACTCGAAGAAGCCGGTGCCAGCGGTGACACGAGCGACCTCTATACAGCGATGTGGAAGCTACAAAAAAAAGAACAAGCATACTTTGCGAGACGCTACTTGCAGACAAACAAGGCCGTGCTTCGGGGATGGCACAACCAAGTTTCCAAGTACGAACTCTCGGGGGAAAAGGTGGGGCATGGAGTCCAGGGAGTTGTCTACGGCGTGATCAACCACCCGGACAAAGTTGTCAAACTGTATCCTACACGTTTCCAGCTTGCACACAACTCTATCACCACGAAGCAATTCGTCTACGACAAGACCGCCTCCGACAACGGGTTCGGTCCCAAAATATACGAGATTTCTTCCGATGGTCGAGTCGTTGACCTGTCGGACAAAAGCACAGTGCCCAAATATCGTTATAAAAGAAATTTTATGGTAGTCATGGAAAGGTTAGCAGGTATAGACATGGATAAACAGTATGTTGGAATTGTTAACGTGTGGAAGAAAATGAGACAACACGGGCTCTTTAGTGGAGACGGATTCTATGGATACTCGCTTCAACACAAGGCAATCGTTCATGCAGATTTTGGTGCAGTATGGAAAATAAAAGACGATGATGAGTTCAAAGATGCAGTGTATGAACACTTGGAAGAACGCAAGGACAGCAAGGGCCTTGAGCCGGACATTGCGAAAAGATACAGAGACGAGTTCCCGGGAGACCCGTTCACTCAAGGCATCTTGGTACCAGTGTTGGCAAAGTTAGGCATCTAATCTATTAACACGAAGGTCGCCGGACGGAGTGCAGTTTTGCTTTGTTTAAATATTGACGTGCGTTAAGATACCACGAAATGGATACTCTGACAACAAGACTCATGGCCCGCAGCGGTCTCAGCAACGCCACTCGTCCTCCCGCGCGCAGCACACCCATGGTCAAGGCCGGTATCGGGCTCAATCCGTCCAACCCACTGCTTCCTCCCGTGCACAACTTGCGCATGATTTATCTGAAGGAACCTTTTGGGGATGCTGAAAAGGATTTGCACGCGGCGCGTGTAGCACTTAAAGCATTGGAAACGACTAACGACGACACCACCAGGAAAGCGCTGTACAAAGCAATGGCGAAACTACAGGGAAAAGAATCACATTACTTTGCGACCAGATACATCGGCAGAGACAAGCCGCTTGTCCTAAGTGGCTGGAAGTCACACTTCTTTTCGCACAAAGCCCACGACTTGTTTAAAAAATCAAGTATTCGTTTTTATTTCCCCCCTTCCGGTATGCATCAAGACGCCATCGATGCCGCAGAAATAAGCTTTTATGCTGCGGAAGACCTTTGGGAAATGGACCAAGAATTCCTAGAGCCTAATCCGGAGCCGAAAGCGTGGTTCGATTTGAGGAAAGGCGATATTAAAATGGATATTGCCAGTATTGAACAAGTTATTCAAAATACAAACACCACATCCAATGATGACATTACATCTATGAATGAATCTCTTGCCAACGCGAAAATCATACAAAGGCTTGCTCTCCTAGTGGATAACGTACGAGAAGTTCCGCACGATTTGCTGTAGTTGTGAACATCGGACGAAACGTAGTTTTGTATTTTTTAAATGTTGACGTGTGTTAAGATACCACGAAATGGATACTCTGACAGCAAGACTCATGGCCCGCAGCGGTCTCAGCAACGCCGCTCGTCCTCCCGCGCGCAGCACACCCATGGTCAAGGCCGGTATCGGGCTCAATCCGTCCAACCCACTACTTCCTCCCGTGCACAACGTGCGCATGATTTATCTGAAGGAACCTTTTGGGGATGCCGAAATACATTTGCACGAGGCGCGCGTTGCGCTGGAAAGTGTCCAAGCTGGTGGTCCATCGGCACCCTTGTACGCAGCAATGGCTAAGCTGGAGGTGGCCGAACGAGACTACTTCGCCAGACGGTACTTCGGTGGAGAAAAAGCTATACTGAAAGGATGGAATTGTTCTAAATTCAAACAAAAAATTAAAGAACTAATCAGTACCGCCTCAGCAAGATCCAGTTTCTTAAATACTAACAGTACACGGTACGACACCCGAGCAACAACAGCTGCAGGACAAGCTTCAGCAGCGTCTCTCCAGCTTAAATTGATGAACAATAAATGGTATACCACCGCCGGCAACCGACAACAAACAAAACCAACAACATTTGGCAACAATTTTACCGCAATTGAACTCGCGATTGGGCGCATTAACAAGTATCTGGGCGAAGTGTTGGCCTTACCGGACTCTGACACAAAAAAGCAACCTTCCGTTACATCCATCAAAGATTCCCTTAAACACGCAAAAATATGTCAGCGCCTCGCTCGACTGGTCGAGGCCAACCAGTGTGATCTTCCGGATGACGTGTAAACATCGGACGAAGTGTAGTTTTGCTTCTTTAAAATATTGACGTGGGTTAAGATACCACGAAATGGATACTCTGACAGCAAGACTCATGGCCCGCAGCGGTCTCAGCAACACCGCTCGTCCTCCCGCGCACAGCACACCCGTGGTCAAGGCCGGTATCGGGCTCAATCCATCCAACCCACTGCTTCCTCCCGTGCACAACTTGCGCATGATTTATCTGAAGGAACCACTCACAGATGCTGAAAAGGATTTGCACGCGGCGCGTGTAGCACTTAAAACGTTGGAAACGACGGACAACCCAGCAAACAGGGAAGCGCTGTACAAAGCAATGGCGAAACTACAAGGAAAAGAATCACATTACTTTGCGACCAGATACATCGGCAGAGACAAGCCACTTGTCCTACGTGGCTGGATTTCGCACAACTTTACGGACAAGGTCCGCGAGTTGGTGCGGTCGGCTGCAGTACGTCAGATAGCTAACCGAGGTGACCCGAAAGTGACACCTTCCACACGTCAAGGTGTCGCTATTACGGCACTACTTTCCGGGATGAACGACGATCGCCTCGACCCAACGAAAACGAACCTCCCGCGTGCACGATACGAGACCGGTCTTGCTGTGATCAAGCTAAGAGTGGCTACTATTGACGCTGACCGTCAATCCATGACAGTCGGTTCTCATAGTACAGCTCAAGCTTATGTCATAAAGAAGTCATTAGCCGAATCTCAGCAGTGCATGAGGCTTGCGGAATTGCTAGTGGACAACAAACGCGAAGTTCCGTACGACATGCTGTAGTTTTCAGTGGAACTGGTTGGTGCCGGGGAGCAAGTAGTTACACAAGAGAGACTGGTAATTTTTCCACCAAGACGTTACCGAGGTGCTGCGCTTGAGTCACACAAATCCCACAATATTCTGAAACACCCCGAATTCCACCAGAAAGGCAACTTCCAACACCAGGCGATCACCGTCATCACCGTCGTCGGCATCAACACCGCGCTTGCGCAACAAAATGAAGCCCCGGCGCTTGGCCCAGTTCTCTTCGCAAACACGCGCTGCGATCAATCCGCGGAACGGCTGCCTCTGACCCCAAAAAGTACCAGACACCCGTCTACCACCGTTGTCGAACGGGAGACACGACGCCCCCCTCTCCACCAACCAGTCGAAACGTAGCCGAAGGTAGTCTACGCTCTCAGTCCTCTCGCTCAGGAGAGTCATCATGGGAGTGAAGCCGAATTCGTCCTGCACACTCCATTCCTCTGGCGACAGATTTTGAGCCAAGGCCTGAAATACGATGGAAGAGTGAGTCTCCGCCACTCGATGGAGTGCGGTGTTCCGCAACCCTCTCTCCCAATCCCAAACAAACCTGGTCCTATCCGCACCAAGACTGATCAAAGCAGATACCACGAAAGGGTTGCGATGCACGCAGTTCGCCAGAGTGCCACATCGGTTCACGCTCGCCCCGTACACATCTACCAGTATCCGTATGCCCGACATGTCCTGTTCATGCCCGTCGTTCGACAGCCGCAGAGCTGCCGCGTTGAGACTCCTGTCTACAAACTCTTGATCCGGAGCATCCCGCGCGACAATCGCCCGCATCGTACCACGGAAGCCCCTTGCAGCAGCGATTGATAATCCCCTCTTCCACACGCCCTTGTGGGAATAATACGCGGAAGCACCCGCCCAAACCAACGCCATCCCGAGATTATCACTCGCATTCCGCATCAACAAAGAATTCCCATCGCGATCCTTGTGATCCAGGTCGCCACCGATAGCTTCATACAGTTGCAACACCGTCAAAAAGTCACCCGCACAGGCGTCGAAGGACTCCAGGTTGAAGAGAACGGTTCGCTGGTGCACATCCTGCGAATGCACATTTAGCATGCCGTGGGAAAGAAGGTACCAGAAGTGCTCCATGTCTGAGAGGGAGGGATTGACCGGGGGCGGCGAGGGAAAGGGAAAGGGGGCAAACAATGTTTACCAATAACTTTGTAGGCGTGGTGCTCACCATTTTTGCGACACTGTTAATAGCATCATCATCACCATGCCATCTACCACCAGCACACTCTACAACGCCGCGTGGACTGGGTCGGTCGAACGCACGCTTGATCTGTTGTCGGATGGATTCACCGAAATCGACCGGCGGTGCGAAGAAAATGGGGTGACGGCTCTCATGTGTGCCGCCAACAAGGGGTATCTGCGTATTGTCAGGGTGCTCCTCCGATTCGGGGCCGACGTGTCGGTCAGTACTGACGATGGACACACCGCTCTGTACTTCGCCATCGGTGGTCGAAACCTCGCCGTCACCAAAGCACTCATCGGGGCCGGTGCCGACGTCGAAGCAAAGGCAGACTTCCTCCACCCGGACCAAGAGGTAGTTCAAGGTCAGACACCCTTGCACTTGGCCACGGGAGAAGGGTTCTGTGACGGGATGGTGGCACTGATCGACGCCGGTGCGAATGTCGACAGTCGCATGAGCAACGGATCGACGGCAATGTACATCGCCGCATGCACCGGGAACTTGGACGCGGTCAAGATTCTCCTACAGGAAAGGGCAAACCCCATGCTATGCGTCGGTCCAACACATCCTCTCGACATCGCCACACACGGGGGACACCTGGGGGTTGTACAGGAGCTTGTGCAGAGATTCGGAGTGGATGGCTGTTCCGACGAAGGAGCCATAGGCGCCCTGGAGACAGCCGCATACGAAAATCACCAAACTATTCTGACGTTCCTACTCGACGCCGGTGTCAAAGACACGGACGGCACGGCCCTGTGTGATGCCATCGAGGGTCGCAGCGAGGCGTGTTTGAAGCTGTTGGTGGGCCGACGAGGGGGGAATGCTCACATGGCGGAGAGCCATTACACGAACACGGACAGCGCCTGTGACAATGCCCTCGTCTGTGCATTCGGTGCGGGACGCGGGTATGCTCCGAGGATGACTCGGTTCTTGCTTGACCACGGGGCCGATACCAAGAAGAAAGTGCGTTTCGAAATAAAAGGGTTGGGTGAGATAGCAGGCGGACCCCTGGTCGCCGCCAAGATCATTCTACGGCACGAGCAGACCCACTTCGAGGACGCAGATGAGGAGGGGGTGGACGGGCTAAAGGAAGTCGTTCGTCTCCTTCGGCAGGAGGATGCAGTTCACGCCAACTCCTGGGCGTGGCCGATCGACACCGACCGCGCCACGAAAATCGTACGCAAGACGCCGGCCTTCAAAATACACCCCGGTCCGAGGCCATGTGTGCTGTTGGCGGCGATGGGAAGGTGCGTGGAGTGGTGTCGATATCCTTAGGTAGTAACATCAATAGGGAAAGTGTGAATAGAAGACGACCTGACCCCGATGATCCTCGTGTATCGCCGGCAGGTACATCAACAAACAGGACGGCGCGTTCGAAGGGTAACGCTTCCTCGGATGCTCATCTCTAACGATTGGTACATCACGGAAAATAAAATATTGCCTTTGAATTATAAATACAATTTGCAGCCATGTCTGTCACATGGACCAAGAGCGCCGACAACAAGTTTGAGGTGGCGACAAAGGAGCACTTGCTACAGATCATGAACCAAGGCGCCTTGTACACAGACAGTGGTGTAATACCCACCAACTACTGGGGGTCTGACTATGTGCAGACGAGCGACATCGACTTGGTGGACGATCACGCGAGCATCCTTCCGATCGGGGACTCTACGACCGCTTTTACAGGGGAGTACGACGGAGGTCTTTTCGAAATCAAGAACTGGTCGTATTCCAGCAGCACCGAGTTGTACCAGGGCTTGTTCGGGAGAGCGAGTTCTGCTACCCTGCAACGCATCCGCCTGTCGGGTGTCTGGACACTGAGTGGTTCACCGAGTGGTTCCGCGTCAGGAACCGCTTTCATGTGCGGGAACGTCACTAATGGAAGCGTTGATGATGTAGAGGGAGACTTTGCCGAAGGGTCGGTCATGACTTCAACCGCAGATAATCGCGGCGCTTTGTTCGGCTCGATCACCAATTGTTCTCTCGACCGTGTGACGTTGCGTGGGTCTGTGAACTTTGATTCCAGTTCCACCGGAGACTGTGGGGGTATGATGGGGATGATCTCCTACAACGCCACGGCCACTAATTGGCGCAATCTTGCAACATTTTCCAACGGCCTCAGTGGCGAAAATGTTGGTGGAATCTGCGGAAATTTTGACGGTTATGGGGTGACGGCATCAAACTGGCTCAATGCAATGAGTGGCGACATCAACGGGCAGTGTTCCGGTGGACTTATTGGTTACATTCGGTACGGCGGATCGTTGGAATCTCTCGTGAACAGCATGACAGGCGATATCACAAGCACGTCGCAGTATGCTGCGGGGGGAGTGGTGGGGTACATACTGTCAAGCAATACCTTTGATGGCCAAAGGTGGTTAAATTACATGAAGGGGGACATTACGGCACCGACGGGAGGCGGTGGAATCATAGGTTTTTTCACGAGAAACAACAGCACACGCGATCTACCCCTCCTGAAATCTATCGTTGCGATGCACGGGAGCGTGGAGCAGTCCTTCCGTGGTCATGACGAGTTCACGCCCTCCGTGGTAGAAGTTTTCGTTGACACCAGTTTCGGCATGACTTACACCGGAAACGACTACGGGTCAGCGACGATGGTAGCGGACGACGCGTTCGTGTACCACGCCGACTTTACCGATTTGCCTTACATTGATATAGGCGGGCTGTACGCATGGGACTTTGTTTTTGCGAACGTGGGAGGGAAGGCGGCGTTTGACAAGTACACGCACCTAAGCCTGCACACGTCTGAAGTTTCAACACCGCTCTACACCGACTTCGGGTTGGCAGAAACTAACACAACGGTTTACCTCACGTACGCCAATACCGAGGACAACTCGCTGTATATTGACGCCAGCCTAACCATCAGCGAGACCACTGCCGACATCGCGTTTGATCATGCAAAATCGGCCGTCATGTACAGCACGTCTGATGCCCTCGAGACGTTGACGTGGACCAAGAATGACGACGGCAAGTTTGAGGTGGCGACAGCACAACATCTGTTGCAGATCATGAACCAGGGCACCATGTTTACTGACTTGGGTGATTATCCAAGCAACTATGATGATGCCAGCGACATTTATCACGTGGAAGAAGGACTCCGTGACATATCCAAGGTCGGCTTCGAAGTGCCGGCCTCGCTAGTCAATGTGGTCTTTGCCACTGGTGATATCGTAGAAGTTGATATGGCTTTCGAAAGAGAAACAACCATGAAAACAACACTTGTGAAGAACGGCGACTTGGTGGAAATTGAAGACGTGAACGCGCTTCTCCTACCATTCGATCTGAGCACATCAGAGACACAAGAATCTAGCCTGAAGCTATCTGACGACACCGTCGTCACTGTGAGTGTCGCGCAAGGATCGGGTGAAATATCGGTCGGAGGACAAACGTATGAGAGCGGGAAATCGTTCGTGATGGATGGTAAAAAGTGTACAGTCTATGATATATAATCATCGGAAGCGTCACTGGAAGCGTCATTGGTAGCGTCACTGGAAGCGTCACTGGAAGCGTCACTGGAAGCGTCACTGGAAGCGTCATTGATATCGGATAGGGGCATCATCCAACGGTTCATTTTGTTGTTTCTCCTCGTTAAGAAAATATCAAGGGTAAAACTCTCATCATAGGTCGACGATGAAAAAACCAGGTCCAGAATTTCAGATCAGACGGCCTGGTACATTTGAAAAAAAAAATCAGATTTCAGAAAATATATCACCATCCTGGCAAGTGTGGCGCACAAGACACACTGCATAGCTCAACCGAGACTCCCTTGAATCACAGTACCACAACCTCAATCTATACAACCAGCCAAATGGCAGTTTCTCTGGCTACACAACCGGGTGTCACCCCTTTTAGCAACAATACTGTGCAGAAAACCGAAGTTCGGTGGTAAGCTCAAGACCGTGTGAAAACGTTATCGGAAGCGTCATTGGAAGCGTCACTGGAAGCGTCACTGGAAGCGTCACTGGAAGCGTCACTGGAAGCGTCACTGGAAGCGTCACTGGAAGCGTCACTGGAAGCGTCACTGGAAGCGTCACTGGAAGCGTCACTGGAAGCGTCACTGGAAGCGTCATTGACATCGGATAGGGGCATCATTCAATGGTTCATTTTGTTGTTTCTCCTCGTTAAGAAAATACCAAGGGTAAAACTCTCATCATAGGCCGACGATGAAAAAACCAGGTCCAGAATTTCAGATCAGACGGCCTGGTACATTTGAAAAAAAAAATCGGATTTCAGAAAATATATCACCATCCTGGCAAGTGTGGCGCACGAGACACACTGCATAGCTCAACCGAGACTCCCTTGAATCACAATACCACACCCTCCATTTATACAAGCAGCCAAATGGCAGTTTCTCTGGCTACACAACCGGGTGTCACCCCTTTTAGCAACAATTCTGTGCAGAAAACCGAAGTTCGGTGGTGAGCTCAAGACCGTGTGACAACGTTATCGGGAGCGTCACTGAAAGCGTCACTGGAAGCGTCACTGGAAGCGTCACTGGAAGCGTCACTGGAAGCGTCACTGGAAGCGTCACTGGAAGCGTCACTGGAAGCGTCACTGGAAGCGTCACTGGAAGCGTCACTGGAAGCGTCACTGGAAGCGTCACTGGAAGCGTCACTGGAAGCGTCACTGGAAGCGTCATTGACATCGGATAGGGGCATCATTCAATGGTTCATTTTGTTGTTTCTCCTCGTTAAGAAAATACCAAGGGTAAAACTCTCATCATAGGCCGACGATGAAAAAACCAGGTCCAGAATTTCAGATCAGACGGCCTGGTACATTTGAAAAAAAAAATCAGATTTCAGAAAATATATCACCATCCTGGCAAGTGTGGCGCACAAGACACACTGCATAGCTCAACCGAGACTCCCTTGAATCACAATACCACACCCTCCATTTATACAAGCAGCCAAATGGCAGTTTCTCTGGCTACACAACCGGGTGTCACCCCTTTTAGCAACAATTCTGTGCAGAAAACCGAAGTTCGGTGGTGAGCTCAAGACCGTGTGACAACGTTATCGGAAGCGTCACTGGAAGCGTCACTGGAAGCGTCACTGGAAGCGTCACTGGAAGCGTCACTGGAAGCGTCACTGGAAGCGCCACACGGTCTGTCATTAACCCGTGATCTGCTAGGGTCTTTCCACAAGACCAATTGTTGAAATGCGACGCAACAAAGGGTACTACGCAACTCACGTTTATGCACAGTATGGTTGCCCAAATTTGGAACACCTGGCTGTGTAGCCAGAGAAACTGCCATTTGGCTGCTTGTATAAATGGAGGGTGTGGTATTGTGATTCAAGGGAGTCTCGGTTGAGCTATGCAGTGTGTCTCGTGCGCCACACTTGCCAGGATGGTGATATATTTTCTGAAATCTGATTTTTTTTTTCAAATGTATCAGGCCGTCTGATCTGAAAGTCTGGACCTAGTTTTTTCATCGTCGGCCTATGATGAGAGTTTTACCCTTGGTATTTTCTTAACGAGGAGAAACAACAAAATGAACCGTTGAATGATGCCCCTATCCGATGCCCCTATCCGATGTCAATGACGCATTCCAATGACGCTTCCAGTGACGCTTCCAATGACGCTTCCAATGACGTTGTCACAACCAGGGCATTGGCATTGACGCTTGATCTGCTAGGGTCTTTCCACAAGACCAATTAATGACATGCGACTCAACGAAGGGCACTACTCAACTCACATTTATGCACAGTATGGTTGCCTGAAGGTGTAACACCTGGCTGTGTAGCCAGAGAAACTGCCATTTGGCTGCTTGTATAAATGGAGGGTGTGGTATTGTGATTCAAGGGGGTTTCGGTGGAGCTATACAGTGTTTCCCGTGCGCCACAATTGTCAGGATGGTGATATATTTTCTGAAATCTGATTTTTTTTTTCAAATGTATCAGGCCGTCTGATCTGAAAGTCTGGACCTAGTTTTTTCATCATCGGCCTATGATGAGAGTTTTACCCTTGGTATTTTCTTAACGAGGAGAAACAACAAAATGAACCGTTGAATGATGCCCTTATCCGATGCCCCTATCCGATGTCAATGACGCTTCCAATGACGCTTCCAGTGACGCTTCCAATGACGCTTCCAATGACGTTGTCACAACCAGGGCATTGGCATTGACGCTTGATCTGCTAGGGTCTTTCCACAAGACCAATTAATGACATGCGACTCAACGAAGGGCACTACTCAACTCACATTTATGCACAGTATGGTTGCCTAAAGGTGTAACACCTGGCTGTGTAGCCAGAGAAACTGCCATTTGGCTGCTTGTATAAATGGAGGATGTGGTATTGCGATTCAAGGGGGTTTCGGTGGAGCTTTGCAGTGTTTCCCGTGCGCCACAATTGTCAGGATGGTGATATATTTTCTGAAATCTGATTTTTTTTTTCAAATGTATCAGGCCGTCTGATCTGAAAGTCTGGACCTAGTTTTTTCATCGTCGGCCTATGATGAGAGTTTTACCCTTGGTATTTTCTTAACGAGGAGAAACAACAAAATGAACCGTTGAATGATGCCCCTATCCGATGTCAATGACGCTTCCAGTGACGCTTCCAGTGACGCTTCCAGTGATGCTTCCAATGACGCTTCCAATGACGCTTCCAATGACGTTGTCACAACCAGGGCATTGGCATTGACGCTTGATCTGCTAGGGTCTTTCCACGAGACCAATTAATGACATGGGACGCAACGAAGGGCACTACTCAACTCACATTTATGCACAGTATGGTTGCCGAAAGGTGTAACACTCGGTTGTGTAGCCAGAGAAACTGCTATTTGGCTGCTTGTATAAATGGAGGATGTGGTATTGCGATTTAAGGGGGTTTCGGTGGAGCTATGCAGTGTTTCCCGTGCGCCACAATTGTCAGGATGGTGATATATTTTCTGAAATCTGATTTTTTTTTTCAAATGTATCAGGCCGTCTGATCTGAAAGTCTGGACCTAGTTTTTTCATCGTCGGCCTATGATGAGAGTTTTACCATTGGTATTTTCTTAACGAGGAGAAACAACAAAATGAACCGTTGAATGATGCCCCTATCCGATGCCCCTATCCGATGTCAATGACGCTTCCAATGACGCTTCCAATGACGCTTCCAATGACGTTGTCACAACCAGGGCATTGGCATTGACGCTTGATCTGCTAGGGTCCGATGCCCCTATCCGATGTCAATGACGCTTTCAATGACGCTTCCAATGACGCTTCCAATGACGTTGTCACAACCAGGGCATTGGCATTGACATTGTTATCAACTGAAGGTTTCTAGAACAATATGGCGAATCTTACCAACTCGAAACGATCTAGAAGAAAGACTACTTCAATTCTATATGTAAACATTTGAGTGTATTGGTAGCCCACGCTGCTCACAATTCACCTTCACCATGGCAACCACCACTACAAAATCGAAGACGAAGAAGAAAAAAAAGAGAAAAAAGAAGGCCGACATCACAACACGGCTACACGAGGTCTACAACATCAACACGCTACGAAGAAACGACGACAAGCTTTCGCAATCGAAGTTTCGACAAACGACTTGCCTGGAAACAGTGGGATATTCCGAGGTTTAAAAAACCCTAAAAGCTGGACCCTTGAGGAGACAATTTAGTTGTTTCTATCTGTTTTTGTTCACTGCAACTTAATAGTTCCGGTTTTCTTAAGTTGATTGTAGTGAGTTTTGACATGGAAGACCTACGATAGGTGTTTCTGTTTTTTTCTCAAGGTGGTGGAGCAACAAATTGGAGAAGAATACGTGCCCCCGTTGGATGCTTCCATGGACGCTTCCGCGGACGCCACCGTATTTTAGCATTTCGATAAGGTTGACGCCTGGTGCTTGGTTGACGCTTGGTCCGGTAGAAATTTTGCCACAACATTCATTGTCAACATTGTCGCGAAAGACACGCTGTCTTCCGTGCGTACAAATGACCAAAAACATTATGTGGTGATAGGATAAATGGTGCTGCGCAACAGGAAGCTCGTGATCAGGGCCAACCTATCTTGCTTTGACCTGAGCACCATACTGGAGTCCGTCCGCACGCAGTGTCCGAAGCTCATCTACCTCGGAATATGGTATCGTGACGGCTTTGTGTACGTGTACGTCCAGGGCGCAGAGCGTATGTCGGACATCATGCTCACCAAAGCACTGGAGGGCCACATGGTCATAGAGCACATCTCCACGTATGATGCCCCCGGAGGCGAGCTACAGGAAGAGTGGCGCGCTAAGCCAGTTCGTGGAAACAAGAAAATTGAGATCAAATCTGACACTACCGCGGTATTCGTGAACCCTTTGGGCAAGGAGTCTCTGCGACACATCAGCGGCAACTATGTCGCCGATTTGCTGAGACCCCTTCCCGGCATTGACGTATTCTATAAGTTTGGATTGAAGCTCTACTCTCTTCACCAAAACATTAACTTCAGGGCGCGCAAAGGGGACAAGAACGCCAGGGTGTGCTGTAGCCGCAAAGGGTGGATCACCGTCCCCAGAGATGAGGCGTACGACGAGATTCTGCAAATCTTGGTTGAGAAGACTCGGGAAGCCGTAAGCATGTTCAGACAGACGATTCCGGCATACTACTTCGATCATTTCGACATGCATTCAGACAGCATCCTCGCCTACAAGGACTCCGCCGTGCCCGAGCAAAGGAAGTTGTACGAAAGGAGGCGCAACAAGGTTCTCAACAACATCGCTGTCAGCGTGACCGACAACCTGTGTCGAATGGGCGGCTGGAGCGACAAGAAGCGCAAGCTCGTTTACAAAGCGCTCCCAACGCGCTCTCGACGTACCAGTCAGCCATCGACTACGGAGCTCTAAATCGCATCCCTGCGCTAACCTGCATAAAAACAAATATTAGTAATTCACAACAGAAACAGCACTCAGGGGGGGGCGTTGTGGTCCTCAAGCCGGCGCATGGCCAGCCTGCAAGACCTGGGGGGAGACATGTAATCACACAGGCTCCTCGTCCTTTTGACCTGAGCGCGAGTAGGCGTGCACAGCAGGCTACCGTTGCTGAAACAGCGGCTCACACCATTGCGGCGGCGGCGCTTGGGTGTGGAGGCGATTGCGGCATCATGACCACCGCCGTCGTTGGAGGCATGAGCAACGTGCGCGGCCTCGTCGAGCTCCGTTTCCGCGACACTGGCTCCGTCGCTGTCGGAAACATGAGCCATCGGCGCGGGATCTTCAAGCTCAGTGTCTTCCGGCTCGGTGTCCGGATCGGCCGGAATTTCATGCAAGATCGGTGCCGGATCGTGGGTCTTGGAGCCACCGACACTGTCGGTGTCCGAGCTGGTGTCGTCGTCGATGATTGGTCCGTGGTTGTTGTTCATCCTGTATTTTGTGAGGATGTTTGCTGTGGTGAGATCGATGTACACACTTTACTTTGCTGACAGTATCGGAGCCAACAGCAGATCGCTGTGTTTGTTGTGCCATCAGCCTGCGGGGATCTTGGGTAAGTGAGCCAGCAGTGAGCTGTGGTTTTACGTTGATACTTCTGTTTTGGATGGATCTTGGGTAAGCGAGACAGCAGTGAGTGGGGTACATGAGTCAACAGCAGATGGCTGTGTTTGTTTTGCCATCAGCATGCGAGGATCTTGGGTAAGTGAGCCAGCAGTGAGCTGTGGTTCTACGTTGATCCTTCTGTTTTGATGCTTGACACAGGATGGATCTTGGGTAAGCGAGACAGCAGTGAGTGGGGTACATAGAACAGGCGCTGTTTTGATGTTCGATGCAAGCCATGTTTCCGCGAGGATCCTGTGTAAGCGTGTAAGTGAGCCAGTAGTGAGTTGTGATTAAACCATGCTTTGAGATGGGGACACCGTGGAGTGGCGCTGATCTTTGCAAACAGCAGATGTACATGAGCTCAGAGATCACATCACGTGTGCAACTCAAACTCTTTCCTCTCTCTCTCTCTCTCTCTCTCTCTCTCTCTCTCTCTCTCCTCGTCTCACTTTTCAGGAGATGGAATGTTGGTGCCCCGACTGCAGCAGTTGTCTCTGTCTCTGCTTCTGTTTCCGTTGTGTGCCGCAAGGTGGTGTTGTGCACAGCACTTGTCTCTGCTCCTCCCGGTGCTTTGGTGTGTAACTGGTCTCTGCTGGGTGTTGTGTTCTTGTGTGCCGCTACAACGATGGTTGGGGTGGGGGGGGGGGACACACAGTCTTCATCCCCGTTTTATATAAAAAAGCCTCCTGAACTTTTTCGACCCACCTGAAGGCTGCTGACGTGGCTGCTGGAGTCTGTTGGCCAGCCGGAGGGCCTGGTCTAACGTCGGCATTCGTACCATGTTATCTTCCCATCCATTGCCTGCATGGCCATGCCTCTCCAGCTATCACTTCGGTTCCCGACTCTCCCTCTCCCGCACCCATTTTCTTCCCATCCATTCCCTGCATGGCCATGCCTCCCCAGCTACCGCGCCCGTTCCCGACTCTCCCTCTCCTGCGCCAAGACCCATCCTTGTTCATCCGTACCCATCCGAGCGCGGCAGCTTCTTGCTTTTCCCCCTTCCTTTTTTGTCCATTTGTCTCATTTGTTTATACGCATCCCTCTCCCAACATCGCGGCCTTTTGTTACTGTGTGAAGCATGCCGCGTACGTGAATCGCCACGCCCCGGCCGCTGACATGTGCACGCCATCACCCGATTGTTTTTCTCCTCTCTCCTTTTGTTTGATGTTAACGCGGTGGCTCCAGTGTGGGAGGTAGGGTAGGTTGTGGCCTATATTTTGTTTTCTGCGTGTCTCCCCGAGTGTCACGATTTTTTGTGATTGGGCAGGCGACCCGTTTTCATTTCCACCACTCTCGCTCGCGGTTTAGCAGTCCGAGTACGCGGTGGTTGCGCCCCACATGCCCAGTTTGTGGCAACTGGATATTGTTGTTCGGTGCTTCATTCAGCAGGTTGTTTCTTCAAATAAAAACCGTTTCTTTCTCTCTCTTTCTTTCTCTCTCTTTCTCTCTCTCTCTCTCTCTCTCTCTCTCTCTCTCTTTCTCTCTCTCTCTCTCTCTTTCTCTCTCTCTCTCTCTCTCTCTCTCTCTCTAAATCACAT